GCAGTATAAATGTATGTACAGTAAGTACCCAATGTCCCAATGTTAAGCCATTAAAACGAGGCAATTTTACAAACAAACAAACTCACTTTCGCATTTATACGTATAATATTAGATCACACTACGTCTTCGTCATCTTATCAACTCAAACTTTCGTACCCGACTCGTTTTTCTATTTATAATAAAACTCATTAAAAATAATAATGAAACTACGATACCCTAAAATGATAGGCAAAAACAGAGTTACCGTTGCGATTTAAGCAATGATATTATGTATTAACGTTGACGAATCCGACTAACCAAACCAAACCAATGTTTATAGTTTTCATTGATTTAAACTAATGAATTATTTTGGAACTTGTATAAATACTTGTAAGAACACAATAACTGTTATTGCTGAATATACCTGTGGGCTGTGAACTATTACTCTAGGGTATAGACACATTGGGCACGGCACGCCGTCATCGCAGCGGTAAGACCCGTTATGGAGGATTGGCTCGAGAGGCGTCACGGGACCCTCTCATACCGACTGACGCAGGTGATCACTGGGAAAGGATGTTTCGGGGATCACCTGTGTTTGATCCGCAAGGAGCCAACGCCTGAGTGCCACCACTGCGATGGCCAGACCGTGGAGGCGAGACCTCGTGGCGGCCATCGGAGTGGGAGTTCTCTCGCTCGATAGCCTGATTGCGGCTATCGTGCGGAGCGGTGTGCGTGGAACTCTGTCGTCTCCTTCTGCGAGCAAGTTATAGTCGCGAACGAGACGGCGGGCGGAGGTTTAGAAGAGCAGGCGACTCAGCCGCCGGAGGTCGCAGAACGACCTCCGTCCTCCATAAGCGCAGGCCTGGGGGTGACAGGTGGGGCCATCTGTCACCCTAGCAGAAGCAGGCCGGGGTGGCGGCGAGCGCGTTGCGAAGCGCGCTAGCTTCCATGGAGCAGAGGGAACATGGGGTTCCCACACGGGGGGGTCGTCTACTCGTCTGTAGATGGCCCGAGGTATGTCGGGGCACCAGGGACTTCCTTTCTAGGGTATACCTGGTTCCCCGGCTATTAGTACCCGAGACGGCGTGCGGTTTTAGTCGGTTCGAGTCCGACATGCCACCGAAAGGTAGTATCCGAGGGGATTTCCGCACGGAAAAAAAAGGGTATAGACACATATTACAACTGGTTAACGATCTGATTATCCGTTGGCGGCATTTTATTATTTTGTACTGGACTATACTATAGACGGTAGAGTTTGCAAAATATAGCTATTTATACTGCTTCATTGTATATAAATATCGAATTCACTTGTAAAACTTGCAATATTACCTACTTGCACATATCCTTTTGCGCATTTTAACATAATAGGTATTTATGCGTCTTATATTTTTTAACTATACTTCTGTCCAATATGTGAAGTGTATTCACAACGATATATTGAGATTCAACACAAAAAGCTTTAATTATGACCTTATTGAACAAGTCATTAATAATGGCGTCTTAACCATTCGTTGGATTTTTTATTGATTTACAATGAGAATTGTCGACTTTTGTCATATGTTATTTAATTTATCCACTGTTTTGGCCATTGCAGAGGCGCAATCACCAAATGTATGGAGAAGATGATAGGTACTCATCGTAATTGCAAATTGTAACTACAAGTATAATTTTTTATGCTCACAGTCGAATATAATAAGTTATACGCACATACTTCGCGTTCTATGAATTTTAATACGATAATGGAGGAAACTCGTGTTCAATACTGCATGTCCTATGGCTAAACCGATTATGATAAAGGCTGCAAGTCACCGTAATATTAAATACTAGGTCAAGGTCGTGCCTTTTACAAAAAAAAATAAGTAAGTATAAATTTTATCCAAATCCTTTCTGAAAATACTTATAGATCTTCAAAATCAAGTTTTGGACATTAATATGTCATCGGTGTCTTATTATTGTTGATCGAAGACAAAATCTGTTTTCTTCAATTTTTACATTATGACTTGGTTTTTTAAATATTTTTGCATTTTTTATATCAACTAGTTTGAATTCAACTTCTATCTTTTTTTTGTGACAGAAACGTAGGCACTATCGTATTTCAAAACTTAAGGGGGTCAGATTAATAGTAGGGTTAGAGAACGGATAATAAGTAATGTGTTCGGGTTCCGGAGAACCGATCAAAATTAAGCTAAATATCAGACTGAATACAGCAGTCGAATCATTAATAGCAGTAATGCCTCACGCTGATTCGAATTCGAAATTCGAATAAAGAAACACGCTGATGAAAAGCCAGATAAAGACACACACAGATTTATCATGCACGAAAACCTGGTTGAGAGCTGATTTAGAAAGTCGCTTTAACTTGTCAAGTCAGTCTAACCACTTTAATTCGAATTTAAAGAGACTTTTTCGAAACAAAAAGAACTTGATACATGATTCCTTTAAAATTTATACAAATGTACTGTAACGATTCGAAAAATTTAGATGATCAGTCAAAGTCGGATGTATCTTACAGATCGCATTAGCGCTCCTTCTGCCATTGAGGTAATGAAAACATAGTATTCAGTATACGATACTAGAACTGAGTTTAGAATTTTGGAATAAGAGTGTAATATATTGTTCCCTAAAAGAAGGAGTAGTAGGAATCATAGTATCTCCATTAGAAGACATAATTATGTGCTTTGTCTACATACACGTACTAATTAATCAATCTCTTTATTTATTTTAGAATTTTGACTGACTGAGTATTAAAAGGTTATTTAAATTGGACCGATTAATTTAAAATCTGTAAATAGCCAAATACATATATAAATATTAATAAGTTATGAATATTTATTTATTTGTTGATAGGTAAGTACCTAATTAACTCCTTTCTTTCCACATTAAGAGGGCCAATATACTATAGTTATTAACATATTCAATCTTATAATTTTTGTAAACCAGATATTATCTTTGTGTATAAACGTGTTTGTCGATTTAATTATATACTTTACACGTGATAAGATATGGTGTTCGGGGCGTAAGTCATGTAGATGAATTACAGGACGTCAAGTTTATCGTAGGTCAACACCGATAGCGGCGCAGTATAACAGTAGTGTACACAATGACCCTTATAATATGGCTGTAACTTGTAAAATAACAGCAGCACGAAAAGTAATTTTAAAGATATGTTTTTAAATTAAACGTTTAATATTAACTTTTTAAATACTAATCGACTTTACTAACTTTTAAACTATCGCGTTCGACAATATAATAAGATAATTACGTTTACGAGTCAGCCTGTGTGTACTTTATATTTATAGTAGCTCGTTAATTCTCGTTAACATAATTATACCTATATTTTAATTGACATTTAAAAAATGTATCTTGTACTTACTTTTATTATATTATAATCAATGTCTAATAAATTTACAAATATTTTTATGAAGTATAGTTTTTGATTACAAATTTGTACGGAAAACACACGGTGGGCGAGTCCTTGTCGAAACTTGTCCGGTTATTTTCGATACAACGTTAACGATAACAACGTTCGCAATTCCAGCATAATTAATGTGACCTTGGCAATATCATAATATGTCCAAGAATCTTGTTTCCTTTTGAAATTATAAATTTCTGACAGTCAAGCAAGGATGGCCAACGTAAACATAATTAAGGAATTCGGTTTATTTGTTTCTACTAAGGATCTTTAAAAGTAGAAGTGTCGGTCGCTTTGTGTTATATACAAAGTATAAGGTGTAATTTAAAATAAACTGTATGAACACGATTTCTGAGTTGTTTACCTTATGTTCTAATTGATTCCAGTTCCATATCTATTTAGTTTTAAATTGTTGATGTTTATTCGTATTCTGTAAAAGGTAGAGGCATTGAGACAAATAAGGACGCTGTTTGTTTTAAATTTTATAGTAATTTTGTAGCACATTTGTTTTTAAACACAACTCTCGCATTAGTAATGTATCCTGTGTCGCGGGGGACTTTACAAACATACACCAAACGACACAAAAAACACTCTGACTCAGAACAACAATTTGTGGATCACACTAAGTGTCGTTCCTGTTGGGGATTGGGCCAACAACACTCAGCGTAGTAGTAAGCGGCGTGCCGCGTGGCGACCGCTTGCTTAAACCACTGTGTAAACCGATTGTTATATCTATACTTATTTTATAAACATGAAAGTGAGCTTGTTTGTTTGTTTGTTACGCTTTCACCCCTAAACTACTAAACCGATTTTAATATACCACATTAAATAAACCACAATAAACAATGTTATATAAACCACTTTCATTGAAAAAGAAGACCTAAATTCTGATAATGTCGCACTAAGTTGCTGACCAAAGGCAAACTAGGTCAAGGATATGACGCGTACACTTGTTACCTACGTATCATTTCCCATCGGGTTTAGTACGATTACCTATAAAGCTATTACAATAATAATATAATCTAACATTGTAATCCAGTCTTTATGATGACAATTGTTAAAAAACGATAAAGCATTATAATTATTATGAATACAATATTCTAACGTATTTCGATTGCAACATTCCAGTTGCCAACTACGAGCCGAACAATCCATCTTATCACATATTCCAGCTGATAGTAATTTTAATCAAAAATGAGTTTTACTTATCGATACTAAACATGTACGCTTTCCCGAACATAAAATAGATCTCCTACAACTATATACCATCATCTTGGAAATCATATGTAGAGAAGTCTTAAGGAAACAATATAATTCTTGAAAAGTACCGTAATGTAAAGCCATATTTATGTTCGTAAAAACAATAAAATTACACTATAAATACACTAATTTATTAAATAACAATTCAATTTGATGATCACTCCATCAAAAAGGCTCTAATAAGATAAGTTAATCATATCTTTCGAGAGCCGATGACATATTATTTTATGTAAATGTGCAGTAAATTAAAGGAGGTTATCTTTCTTCTTCTTTATGAAAACCTAGCAATTAACTATCATTTTAAGCGGTCATTGACTTTCACTTTATATCTTACAAATCTTGTTTTCAGGTGATTTCGGACGGTACCAATGTTTCCAGTTCATCCTTCACGTCCTCGGCGCCATGACAGCTGGCATGCATATGCTCTCCCTTGTGACGGTTGCTGCAGTACCTGATCATAGGTTGGTTAATTTGTATTTATTCATTGCATTGTTTACGAGCGGGTTATGGAATACGACTAAATCTGACAAGATATTTGATTTTTTAAATTTCATTTCATGATAGTTTGAACGTTGAAGAAAAACTTAACATAAACTCAGTATAAGGTACACTTAACTGCTTATACAACTTTACTAATACAAGAAAACTCAAATATCATCAGTAAACATATTCATGTATGTACTTAAGCCAAAACCAATCTAGGATGTGATGTTATGGGACACTAAAGAAAGAAAAATGCAGTTTATAGTATGCATAGGATTTATTTAAAATCTTATCCGTACAAAAAAGTAAGAACACTTAATATGAATAAATTATGTTCGTATTATATAATACACATGTATACAATTATATAATTATGAATCTCACCCAGGACAAATAGTGTGATGAGTACCATCATTTGTACTGTGTCTAGATATCATCATCAGCCTATCGCATGCTGGACATAGGCCTCTCCCATTGTCTAAATATAATTTATCTATAATATTTACAATATACATATAAAGTACATATGTACATATTTATATCAGTTGTCTAGTACCCATAGTACAAGCTCTGCTTAGTTTGGGACTAGACGGCGTTGTGTTAATGTGGTACAATATTATAAATATAATTAAATCTAGAAATATGTAAGAACTTTCATTTAGAAATCCACGTACCAGGTTGATGGCAATAGGATTGTTCCCTATTACGTATGTGGGACTAAAATTATAGTCGGTAAAATGTGGTCGATTAATTCGAGTGTACCTATGTAAATATATGTATATATTAGTAGAGTAATAAATAGATATTTCTGTCGATTTATATATATATATCCGATTAAACGATTTACTTTAAGCCACAGATAAGACAATATGAGTACAAAGTAGAGTGCACAAAGTGTAATGGACACAAGTACAATTACAGTTTTTGGGAACATTTTGCGGACGCTCTAGAATAGTTTATTATAAAAGAAAAGATTGAAAACAATGCAATAGTTTATATTTTTAGTAATCAAATATATGAGTTTTGAGATTTATAATGTGATAAATGACGTTATTTTCCTCTTTGAAATGTACATTTTATTTAACTAAATAATGAAAATATTCTGAATTCTTGTGATGAAAATATTCATTATAAAGGACAATGGCAGGTCCCCATACATAATTTCATTTAACTGTGGTATGCTTCTTATCACAGATATCACAACACTATTCCAGATACGAGTACGGCTGAAAAAGTGGTTCATCTTTGCCACCGATAAAAAGTGATGGCTGTCAAACTCTTGTCGGCACTACGCACAGTCTGTCGCGGCCAGATTATAGACTTGACCACTTAGTGATGCATTCTACCATTTAATGAAATGGTTGTGTGGTGGATGTTTCCATGATTTAAATGGTTTAATAACAATTTTAAATAAACTGAAAATAAAGGAATTTATATATTGCTATCATAAGTTGTCGTTACGACATTTTACTGTACTGTTTTACTTTTATTTGCACAGTCGCATTGGCTTTAAACACGGTTGTCTATGGTGGCATAAAACCCTGCAAATAAAAGCATCACATTAACAAATCGATATTGGCGCCTCTAACAAGGCATAATGTAATCACTTTACGATATGATCATAAATGATCAACTGTAACGTAGGTATCCCGGGGTGCGTTTTGCAGTTCAAATCGTGAAGATCAAGAAGAAGATCATGATGTGACCAACCATTTCACGATTTGTGATCATTTAATGAAATGCTCAGAGTGATAATTATGATTTGGCCACTGCATAATATTTGTATGTATTTTATACGCTTAACATACAAACGAATTTATCAACAGTGACTATAAAATGTGTCTTCACACACCTCACTTTTCGCACGTTTTCACCTATACAAGTCTTACCTACCTCTATTATTGGCTTAAGTACAATTACCTAATTCGATTATTAAACAAGAACATTAAGGTTTACATTGCATGAGCATGGGTGGCGTCTCGAACAGACAATGGTTAATGCACATCCTGGGACACTACTTGGGCTCCAGATAAACAAAAAATAATATTGAATTAAATTGTTGCTCATTTTAGATTTTCATCAATAGTATACTTGGTGAATAAAGTAGCGCGTCTGTCTGGTTTTGGTCTGTCGGGTATTTGCTTTTGGTAATACGGCGTGTACTGTAAGGTCTTGCTTGCCTGGGCAGGGCGGACGGGAACAGCTGAACGGCTTTGGTGTTCTATATTGTACAACAACAGTGATGTTATTGGTGCAGATACTTACTTTGTATAATGAACGTAAGTACATTCTTTTGTAACATGTCTTTTGGTTAAGGTTTGCTATGTGTGGTGCTTTTTGTATGGATAGTATTAAGGTTATGAAATTGATTATTTATATGTATGTATAAAATAAAAATATAATAGAAAAGTGTTAGTTAAAAAAAATAACTCTAATAATTAAAAACTTTGATAAATAGGTAATGTCGTTGTTAATACTCGTACAACAACATGTACGATATCTTTAATAACCTTGAATTTAAAACACCGTTGTAATTAGTGTAAAATAATGCAGATTGTTACAAACGTATTAGGTACCTACACGTAGATTATTTAATACTATTCCTGTTAATACTACTCAGTTAATAGTCTGCTTATATCAATCTCTTTAATTTTTATTCTTTTAATAAGCAATGTAGTTTTCTCTTTCTGTAGTTTGGTTCAATAATGTTTAACAAATGGAATGAAGCTATGCTGCAACTAATATGCACTTTGGCCTGCCACGACACCAAAAAAATATACAAAGCATTAAAAATAATATTTTCGCATTTTCAGATGTTTCCTGCCAGGAGTGGATAATACAAGTCATACGGAACCATGGAACTCGTCACTTGTGTTAGCCGCCATTCCTATAAATGAGCACGGCAAGTTAGATAATTGTAGAAAGTATGGTGTTAATAATGATACCCTGGTGGATTGTCAACAGTGGGTCTACGACACACGCTACTACAGCTCCTCCCGGGCTATAGAGTGGGATTTCGTGTGTGATCGTCGTTGGATGGGCGCTGCTGCCCAGACAGCTTACATGCTCGGTGTTGTTTGTGGCTCTTTACTATTCGGGCGCTTATCTGACAAGTTAGGAAGAAGGAAAGCCTTCCTTTGGTCTGGCATTTTGCAGCTTCTCTTAGGTACATCTGTTGCCTTTACTGCGGATTACTACAGCTTCATGGCTCTTCGATTTCTTTATGGTATCTTCGGATCAGGTTCATATATAGCTGGGTTTGTGTTAACAATGGAAATAGCCGGGCCGAGTAAGCGTACAATATGTGGTGTTGCGTTTCAAATTATGTTTGCCGTTGGAATAATGTTGTTGCCCGCTTGGGGATACTTTGTTGATAATAGATTCTATTTGCAAATAATTTATGCATTACATGCAGTCGTATTGCTTCCTCACTGGTTTCTTATGGATGAATCCCCCAGGTGGCTGTGGTCACAAGGTCGCGCTCGTGAGTCTGTAGCTATAATAGAGAAGGCCTTGAAATTCAATGGATCCTCCGAAGTTATTGATACTCCCTCTTTAGTTTCGCACTGTAAAGCAACTTGCGCAAAATATACTGATGAACACTCAGCAGCAACTACAGATCTTTTCAAAACTCCAAAAATGCTTAAGAAAACTTTAATCATTTGCGGTTGCTGGTTTGTTAATGCCGTAGTATACTATGGTCTCTCTCTTAACACTGGCAAACTAAACGGCAACCCTTACTTTCTTATGTTTTTAATGGGAGTAGTTGAATTGCCAGCTTATGTTATAATCGTTTACTTTTTGGATCGCGTCGGTCATAGAGCGCTTATTAGTACCATGATGGTGCTTGGTGGCATCGCTTGTTTAGTAATTGTTGCTCTACCCCACGGTTCTACACCAACGACCGTGTTTGTGATGATAGGTAAACTCTTCATATCTGGTTCTTATTCAATTATATACAAGTATTCTGCGGAACTGTTCCCAACTGTTGTGCGAAGTTCTGGGGTTGGACTGGGAAGTATGTGTGCCAGTGTTTCAGGCGCTTTCACACCTCTTATAAATTTGCTTGATACTTTAAATCCAAAGATACCTACGATTCTTTTCGGGTTTCTGGCTTTGTTATCTGGATTTTCGACCTTTTTCTTACCTGAAACTTTAGGCAGAAGCCTACCTCAGTCATTAGAAGACGGCGAAAGGTTTGGTGTTGGTGACACATGCTTCACGAATTGCAGCGGTCGGCGGATGAGTACAGAATCTGTCGAGCTTCCTGAAACGATGGTGCCTCTCGACAACATGGAAAAGAAATAATAAATACAATACAATGCCATTTATCGAAAATCAGGTCATAGCTCCGGAAATATATTTATAAACCAGCTTCTAAGTATAATATTTCAGATAAGTAATCTTTAAAAGACTAACGATGTTATGATATGATATTTTTTTATAAAAGGAGAATGTGTAAACTTGCTTTAGCCCTTGGCGAAAAGTAATCTATCTCTAATTTTGGGACAAAAAATTATATTTTTCAAAATAAGTTTAAGTCTCCTCCCCAATTCGATGAAATAAAGGATTTTATTATTTTTTCACGAGGAATATTATATACATGTAGTAATATGTAATAAATTGGTTGTCAAATTCTTAATATCTTGTATCCATATGAGATAAACTAAAATAAAGGATTCTATACTATTTTATAGATAAAAAACAGTACTGCAGACTTTGAATTCACTTGAGAATACTGCAACTACTTGCATGTAGGTGTGAACAAAACTCGGAAGTTAATTTCAAGTAGTCATATGCTCGTGACGTAATCTTAATCACACTGCGGTATCATAAAGCTATTATGATGATGGATACGGGAGGTGTAACTCTTCATTAGCTTCCAGTAAGACGCCAACTTTAGGTAACGTTTCTTTTGACGTTAGGTATGGCCTAATTTTCTATTTTATTTTGCGCATTCTCCTTTCATTTATAGAAATTTAATTCTCTTTAACGAATTTCTATTAACTGTATTTTAATTACACTTTTTGATAGAACTTATTTATATGCTATCCCCGAATAAGTGTTTTTTGTTTTTATATTGTTACTGTTTTTTTAGATTTAAGCGTTTGTGTACGTAAATATTATGTACAGGTACTATTTTTAAGTGGTCTAGTCAAAAGTACACACAATATTTGTGTTCCTTTAGCAGTTTTGCTTTGGACTGGATAATTAGACATACAATTTGTTATTACAATATAATGATTAGCCGTGAGCAGCTAGTATTAATATAGTTTTGCAGTTTACGAATGAGTGTGAATCTTGTATCTTATGCATGGATTAAATTTAAAAGGATTTTTTTCTCATCACCACTTTATACTCTAAGATATGTTTGTCACACGTTCGCAGTTGCAAGACAATGATAAATTACACACAATACCTGAAATGAGTCATAATAACGAACAATACAATTGAAGTTTTAACATGTAGTGTAAGTTCTTTACAAATTGAGTAGGACTGTTACAGGTTTTTAATACTATTTGAAAAGGCTATGAATAGGTTATTTGTACAAGCATTAACTATAATTTGTAAAAGAAAAGTAACCTGCTTATTATTGGTACGCGTAAGTAATACAATTTGATATAAGTACATCGTATCTGCCTAGTTTTGGAGGCTAATTAAAATCCATCGACATAAATCTGCTTACAAATAATTATAAATAAAGAGGTTGGCAAGTTTAAACTATTACTGATACTTGTAGCCCAATATGTAGAAATCTAGTTAGTTAAGTTTAATTACCTATGCCATTTTTTTTTTTTGCCTTTATAAAGTTACTACTAACAACCGCTTTACAACGTTTAACTAATTAGAGTTAAAATAAAATTAATCTTTGAATTAAGTCATACCTACTCAATATCAATTTTAAGTCCTCTAATTAAACATTGTTTTATTAAAGAAGTAACATTATATATATTTTTTTGGTTTTCTGTTTGTAATGCGACACACGGTATATCGGCCGCATACCTAGAAACTTATCTATAAATAGCTGGATTTAAATAGCTTTAGTGGATTTCTTTCCTGTGACAAGTTATGAAATATGAGACTTAATTGGAACAGACTGATGTTTTAAAAATATCATATTTAGTTACTTACTATTATAATACAGACGATAAAACGAATTTAGATTAAAGTTAAGTATACATGACAAATTTAAAAATGTTTTTTTGCCTTTACTAATCACATGTTATATAAATTTGATTCATTTTCGGCCCAGTATAAAATATGCAAAATAAATTGTTTTTTGAATGGTTTTACACAATTACTAATCTGTATGAACAGTGTACTGTACTGTTTTTGATATCACTTAATTCATATATTATTTGCGCTATGAAATGGATTGCTAAACTCATGGTGCTCATTTAAAGCCGAGTTTACACACTGTAGAAATAGGAGCATATTATAATTCTTTTGAATATTAATTAGGTATGTAAACGATCGAATCTGAGTACCTCAGTTGATGATTATTATTAGATTTCTGTCTGATGATAACAGAGTAATTAAGTTAAATTAATTATCATGTGCTCCTGCTTAGTCGCTTACAAAAACCTGTAAAATCTAGATATATTTTCGAATTTATTCAAAAACCACCACAGTGCACTATGATTTAAATAATGTGTAATGCAATAAAAATATATGTAAGTTATACTTTTTTAAGTTTCTGTTTTTTTTTAATGATGAATCGTCTTTAGCAGTCCAGGTCCCGAAGTTATGCAAGGTCAGTAAATAAGGTGACATGAGGGTGCTAATGATTACCTAAGGTTGCCAAGAGTGGCGTTAATTGCCAAAAAATGCGGACAAGTGCAAGTGTGTCTTGTGGTAGTAGTTCATCACTCGATTTATCATTAAAGACTTGGATTTTTGAATGCTTTAATCCACTCGCAACTACAGTATGACTCTAAGTATAAGGATTTTTCTGGCTGGAAGGCTGGTTAGTTCAATAGTCACCTACGCGCTTCGTCGCGTCATCCGATATATTACATAATTATAATCAAGGTATAAGTAAAAACATAATAAACCATATTAGGTTGCTTAAATACTGCTTTATATACTTTAAAATACTTTGCTACTTTTATATACCTACTTTATTTCATAACATTATCTGAAAAATTGTTTAAAATCGTCTCTTACGTAATGACTCTAAAGTCATAGATCCACACATAATCTGTGTTGTCAAATATTTAGCAAAATAAATGGATACCTATAGAAAATCTATTAGGTTTATGCCTATGCCGATCTACAACCACCCGTTTCCCAGGAAAAACGCCTTATGACAAGAAAGGGCAAATAAAATGTATGCCTGTGCCGATCTACAACCCTACGTTTCCATGGAAAAGAGTCTTATGAGAATAATGGGCAATCAAACTCACGGTCACTCTTTTTAAATTACCAGATAGATACCATGAAAACATTAAATCTACTACAATAGTGCTTTGATGTTTGTCAGCATGTGTTATTAAAGACTAAAAGGTAAAAAGCGAAAACAAGATAAAGAAAAGAGATGAAATAGAAAAACAAGTGAAGTAAATTGTAAAAAAAACACATTGCCCACATCACATTTCCACTTAAGAAATAGCTTAGAAATAGCCAAAATAATTCTAAACATTCTTGTCTTCTATGTAATCCACAATCGAGAAATAAGCTTTAAATAAGTTTTCAGATTTGGACCTACTGGTATTATTATATGCAAATTCTGTCTCCTTAATCTACCACCAGCAAAAAGAAGAACACTAGGGAAGTAGTGCTTTCTATGCTATTCTATAGACTGTAGGTGTACGTTCTTTCTTATTCGAGCGGATCACTTTGAATCAGAAACTAGCACAAGCTTCAGACTTTAATAACATTAATTACAGTTTCTTGTAGGCATATTAGGTGAGCAAAATACATAATAGAAGATGTATCTAGGTAGGTGTATAGTTGCGAAGGATAGGTCCTTTGAGAAGATTTATATAAAATATTATTTTGAAACATTTTAAGAAATTTCAGAGAATTGGTAATCCCATAAGCTCAATTTGCAATGCTCAGCTTTTGCATATCTTTGTGTAGTTTGTGTGTAGAGAACAGTAACTACTAGTTTCATCATCCTAATCTTTAGAAATAACAGGTAAGTAATTAAATAATATAGACAATGTGATCAGTAAAGTTGAATTACAGTGAATGACTCAATTTCGTTTCGTAATATTAAGGGCTGTTCAAGGCAGACTAGGTAAGTATCAATTAGTAAGTATAGGAAAAACATCCAATAGACTAACGAAAATAGCTAAGTACACGTATTATCAAAGGTACAAGTAATTTGTGGCTTACGTTACAAGTAACAAATACAAATAATGCTATGTATTAGCATTATTTGTATTTGTTACTTAACTATTAATATGCAGTAGTTCTAACTTTCAGAGAGGTGGTGGTTAGGATACATAGACGTTGGTCTAGGCCAGGCCCACTCCGTAGTTGAGGTATGACGCTACCAGTACCTCGACTTGTCGGGCCAAATTCAGCGGGTTGCCGCGGAGGCTTGTTAGTCCTGTTTCGGATCGCATATCTCACTCTGTCTCTCTACTTGGCACGGAGTAAGACGTTAAAAGAGCATGTCATCATACATTTTTGTATCACTGACTTTATAAGGTCTGTCTAGTAAAAAATAAAATTAAATACTAACTAATGTGTTATTTGCATTCGAGACTCGTGACGTTCACATAGATAGTTATTATTTAGAAATTAATATTTTGATAGGTTTTTATTTAATGTTAGAATGTTGAAATGTTAGATACTGCCGTATACTATATATTTATATATATAATATACCGTATACTGTATACTAAAAAACTTTCATTAAACTAAGCTTATTATTCTTTCATGCTCAATTTATACATACTCAACAGTTAGTACAGAAAGTATGTACGATGATTTCTAAAATGTCATGTTTTCATGTTTTTAACATAAACATTATTCTCGAATGCAACTAACTTTTTCAAACTGCAGGTAACGGTGATCAAGAAACGGTCAAGAAAGCACGAAAATCATTTTAAAATAAGAAAACAATAAATGTTTTTATGAATATATTGTGTTTTAACTTTGTGTCTGTTATTTAATATTTCAATGCCATTCCATACAACATATGTAAGTATAGTATAAAATAAATATTGGATACATTGTTGAAGAATAAGATTAACATATATCTGTTAAAATATTTATGACTAACAATAATATGAAGATTTACGCTCTTGATTTGTATTTCTTAGAAGGTGAACCTTACTGGCAAAAATAAAACTAGAGGGAATTCTTGATTTACACCGTGCCGCGCCGACAGTGGCTCTTACTTCGATCTGCCGTGCCGGGAATGAAAGTATATTAGAAGAAAGTTTAGTATACGATATATACACATATCGCTGGGTGGCTAGAGCAATTAAACCAGAGTATTGCCATAATTATAATATGAAATAAGATGTGCGGAGCATAGCCAAATACCCGTATGACAAACGTAGATGCCAAAACATACATGTGACATCTACTACAATGTGTATTTTATTACTAAATATCACAGTAGTGTAAATGCAGATGCACCTCCTTGTAAGAAGTCCTAGTGGCGTCCATGATTCTACATATTTTCTAGTTTTTCAGTAATAAACAGAATAAAGAATAGATCTCAAAACTATTACTATTCACTATAATTTTACTTTTTGCTTCTGTTCTTAATTAATCAGTAGGTACGTCTCATAATATTAAATTGCAGGTTAGATTGCAGAAGGTCAATTCTCGTAACAAAAATTCTATCAAAATTCAGTTTCGACCTAGCCACGATCTTGCACAAATGTCATAAAGGTATTCTCGTAGTATCCAACGTTACCTGTAATGTAATTATATCGTATTGTGACCGAAAGTTAAAAAAAAAGTAGGAATCGGTATTCTGCTTTTAAATGGGAAGTGATACTTTAATGCAAATGAAACATAATTAGAATTCTCATCTCTGTTTATACGTCAAGTTTGACATTACTATGAGTTTGAATGATGATCAACAGTAGACTTCTGGAAAGTATTTTTATGAGCAGAATACTTATTTTAGTCAATTCATAATTATTCAGTCTCAATTCAATCACTTTTCGTCGCTTTGTTGCATATTATACACTAGCTTTTGCCAGCGGCTCCGCTCGCGTGTATGTCGGTTATCGCGGAAAATAGTAGCCCATGTCCTTCCAAGAGAATCAAACTATCTCCATGCCAAATTCCATTCAAATCGGTTCTGTGATTATTGATTCCCCATACAAACTTACCTTTTCACCTCTTTAAAGGATGATTCCTATAATAAAAAACTATCCTATGTCCTTTCCCGGGACTCAAGCTATCTCTATATCAAATTTCATCTAAATTGGTTCAGCGGTTAAAGCCTGAAGAGGTAACAGACAGACAGACTTTCACATTTATAATATTAGAATGGATTAGTATGAATGATATGTGTGTATCTTCTTACACTCAAAATATTATTGTAATATAGTAACAACAATTTATTACAATATTACCTACATTATGTATACGTTTGACACAGGGTAGGTTTAGGTTTGCCAGGGTGCCACTCTTATTCTCCCCCGAATTCTGAGGGCTAGTATCGAGAACTATGAATAATGACTATTGACGACAAATGGATAATGTGAATGATGAATGATTTGACAAAACAGAGCTTCTAGTCTATACAAGAGACGATTTCAAACATTATTTTTTATAAAATAAAGAAAATTTGAGTTTGAATGATTACCAGTATCATTTTTTTGGTTTTCTTGGCCAACTACATATCATGCTATTGACCTTAAAAGACGTCTATGGATGCTTGTATCTATAAATGTGAGAGTTTTTTGTTTAGGTATTTTTAACGCTTACATACTGTAACTACTCAACCTATAGTCACATTTACAGGTTATAAGAAATACATAAAGGATATAAAGTTTTCACACTGTTCTCGACGTATCAGGATTTGTAGACTAAATCTGTACCAACCCGAGTGAATGTGCTAACAAAAGTTTTCTATAAAACTTTTAAGGCCTGCTTTTTTTAGTCTATAATCTCAAAAAACCATTGCAGAGCAGTGACGCAATTCCCGTCCAGGGTAGGCAGACGGGATAGAGCGATATTTAACATTATTCTGTCATACAGCTTGCGCCTTTTCAACATATTGTTACGTGTTAGGGTTCGTTGATTTGGAATATTAAGCCTTCTGACGACTAGAGAGACTTTATTATCACTACAATTGAAAACGTTCACACAATACTCAAGAATAGTCCAGAATGATCGCCGATGTCGCTTGGTCACCTTCTATTTTCTTGAATCGCTTCGATGTTTATCGAACTGAACTAACTCCAAAAAAGACGTTCCCGTGTTTTTAATACACGTAAAAGATCGTTCTTGCAAATTCCAATCCCTAAGAGAACCGTCCGCTTTTGAGAAATACAAATTCGTTTCGAATGTAAACAAGATAACCGCGCGACAATCTATTTTCGATCTTATGCGTATTAATATAGAACTTATTGTTTCGTGCCAACCCGCACCATTACTAAACGGACTGCACGGCCATTCAAACCTTCTTAAATGTGCGTGGTTTTCTTGGTGACAATATTATACTTTGAGGTGCTGATGTTTTTGTCGTTACTATTCTTCAGTATACCTCTTGTACTGTACTAGCGACAGTTTTAGTTTTTCGCCTTTGAAAGCCCAACAAAATCCTTCAGACATTCGCTCTTCACTTAGGTATCAAACCAAACGGGCATATTGAAATGATACCTTAGTGTGCGATAGTTTTATCGCACCGCATATCTATAAATTATATACCTATTAGATATTTATCACTTGCTGACGGTGAAATACTACTTAGCGAGGAAAACTACAAGCTTGAAGAGTTTCAAACCCGCCATATGTCAGCGAGGACCTGTACCCATCATTGGAACATAGTCATTCTACGAAGCCCTAATATTACTTTATAGACTGTCTCGGTGGTGCAGTGGCAGCTTATGCGACTGCTATGCTGAGGTCTCGGGTTCGATATCTGGGTCGGACCATATGTTTGTATGCTCTGCAATTATTTGTTTAGGAGTTTGAGTGTTTTAATTCGGTGTTTTAATGTATAATATGTATGTATTTACAAAAAAACGTATATATGTAGGTATTCTATCAGTTAATCTAGTTTTTATAGCACAAGCTCTGCTTAGTTTGAAACTATAGGGCATTATGTGTCAGATGTCCGAAATAATATTAAAATATTATTATTATAGTATATAAAATGACACTTATTAATCTACAATACATAAGTTAAATTAGGCACCCATCTCATGCATGTATTCTTTTTATTTTCAGGTGCTGGGTTGATGGTGTCGATACAAATGACTCTATAGCGGAATGGAATTCAACTGGAATTGTAGATGCTATACCCAAAACAGTAGAGGGTGAACTACACACTTGCTTTATTTACGATAGTAATAGAACAATCGCCTCCTGCTCTAAGTGGGTATACGATACAACGTACAGATCATCTTCTCGAGGCATGGAATGGGATTTAATTTGTGACCAGAGATGGATGGGGGCATTAGCGCAGTCTTCTTACATGTTTGGAGTTTTTACGGGAGCTGTTATTCTTGGTGGCATGGCGGATAAATACGGAAGAAAAACTATTTTTTGTTGGTCGGGAGTTTTACAATTAGCTTTTGGTGTAGCGGTTGCATTTATGCCTGAATATTGGTCATTCATCGTGATTCAGTTCCTATATGGTATATTCGGATCCGCCGGTGCGTATATAACCGGTTTTGTATTAACAATGGAAATCGTAGGAGCTAGTAAGAGAACTATTTGTGGCGTTGCATTTCAAGCAGCATTTGCATGCGGTATTATGTTAGTAGCGGGTTGGGGAGCACTTATAGATAACAGGCAAATTCTTCAAGTGGTTTATGGACTTCACGGCCTTTTGCTTGTACCACATATTTGGATTATGGATGAATCACCCCGTTGGTTGTGGGCCCAAGGTAGGTCTAAAGAATCGGTTGATATTGTTGAAAAGGCTTTAAAATGCAATAGATCTGAAGAAGTATTAGATAAAGCTCAGTTAGTATCCATTGGCAGAGCTAAAGCATCCAAGGGATCTGATGAACCTTCAGCTGGTACCACAGATTTGTTCAAGACCCCAAATTTGAGGTTAAAGACATTAAACGTGTGTTTTAGTTGGTTTGCTAATTCCATAGCATATTATGGGCTTACATTAAGTACTGGTAAACTTGAAGGGAATCCCTACTTAATAACTGCTATCTTAGGTTTTGTGGAGATTCCGAGCTACGGGACTGTGGTTTATTTTCTTGATATTTGGGGTAGAAGGTCTCTTATGTGTTCTTTAATGCTTGTGGGTGGCGCGGCATGCGTTATCGCTACTTTACTTCCTACAGGGAGTACAATATCTACGGCAATAGTAATTGCCGGTAAACTCTTCATAGCGGGATCTTTTGCTATAATATATAATTACTCGGCGGAATTATTTCCTACAGTTGTGCGCAACTCAGCTCTCGGACTGGGTTCTATGTGTGCCAGGCTTTCTGGCGCTTTAACACCATTCATTTCCTTACTTGATTCGTTCGATCCTAAAATTCCAGCTATAACATTTGGGGTCATTGCTATTGTCTCAGGATTTTTATGTATGTTCCTACCCGAAACAATGAACCAACCCATGCCACAAACCTTGGCCGACGGTGAACGATTTGGTAAAGGGGATACTTTGTTTACTAGCTGCTTAGGAAAGAAACGTAATAGAACTTATTCCGAAGACAATAAAGTACCTGAAGCTATGGTACCATTGGACGATACTAGCAGAAAAGTTTAAAAGTTACCAGCTTGACTGGCTGAATGTATTAGAGCCCGAAAGTATTCGAACAAAATGGAGTCCAATTGGTTTTAATTAGATATAAATATTTTGTAAAGATATTAGTAATATAGGTAGATACATAGGTAATAAAATTAATTTTACATTTTAAATGAGCAATTACCATTGATGTGATAGATAAGTTGTTTTACCTAAATGTAAGTTGTACCTACACTTTGTGCCATGAGTGGGTGAAATATACGATTAGATATTTAATAATTAAATATTGCCCTTTATATTCATTCTTTACTAAATTCGATCGATATTTGTTAAAGGCCTTTTACACCATCTCATTAGATTATATTTTCGTGTAAAAAGCAAATTGGAGCATGAGACAGTTCTGCAATGAGTCTCAAGTCGTAATTCCTGTAGTTGAGAGACCTGGACAAATTTCGGTAATTTGACAGGAGGGATTGCTACAATATCCTGTTCTGTTAGGCACTCTGTTTGATTCTATGCAGTAAACCTCAGCTGTAGAGAGTTGCAGAGGCGAGAGTCTGTGTTGCCTCGTATTAATTGGTTACTAGGATGAAACTCGAATTTGACAGTGATCTTTATAGCTGTATTATGACTAATATTTGCGGATTCGTTTATCTTCTCTTTGACAGTTGCTTGATAACAATACTTTCTTAGCGGCTGTAAAATTTAACTTTTAAAGCACTAAATGTACATATAGATTATCTATTTTTATTTGGTGATATTATGTCCAACCAATTTTTAGACATTATTGATATACTGTACTTTGCAGAAAATAAATAATTTTGTATTATCATAATCTTAAAATTCAAGTGCCAAGTTAGAGTAATGATCAAATGAAAGATAATTGTCACTTGAATCCTCAATAACATGTTCAGGATTTATAGCTGAAATTAACATTGAACTTTTTCTAAATCGTAAACTTCCTTTAAAATAAAATCGATTGGTATTTTAAATCAAACCAGCAACCTCTAGGCTCTTCTCTTATTGGTTACTTGTCTAGCTGACAAAAAGAAACAAAAGTATGTGAAAGTATTGTATGTATACAGAGTGCATAATCAATTTTTTTGTTGATAAATTTTGATTAGGTACCTAATTGATTAGGGTATGTAATAATTATATATCTATAAACGAATTATTGATTTATGAAATGAGTCTTCCTTATGTACTAAAAAAATTAAAATATAATATTATAATTGCCGTTATTCTAAAAAAAGTAGTGTACACCGTAATGTTTTGTACAAAATTTCCGTCCAGTGTTGGACCATTTCATCATGTTCTTAAGACAAACAATTCGCCCTTATCTGGCTATCTGTAAATATTTTGCTATTAGGTTTAGTTGTGTTTTTGCCGAAAGTCGAACATTATTAAGCTTCCGGCTGATATATTTAGTGCCTTAAATCGCAGAGTTCCTATTGGTAATATTGGTACCTACCAATTATATTTTTACAAATAAATGTAATAATAATTATGAACATGAAAGTAGTACTTAGGTATAAATAATATGTGCATCCTCCCAATTTGTTAATTAATAAAATATAGTGTTTAGTTTTAGTGCTGAATTTTGTTATTAATAAGCACTGTTTATGTTATTAATGAAACATTATGCGAGGACATTTGTATTTTATAAAAATACAAAATACAACCACGTGCATTTGTTTTATTGATTAAATAAAAAAAGACGAATTTTAAACTCAATATAACTTTATATTTACACCAAACAATAGTGAAAATCACAGTGAGATTAAAAACATCAATAGAAGATACGTCGATGTACTAACAATGAACATATAGAAGAATAAGGTTGGTAAGTATCGAAAATTTACAACTGGGTAAAAGCCCATTTACATCGAAATTGTCTGTACAAGGAAAGGTGTATTTGACACGTTGACATCAAGAGAGGTTTAGAAACCCTGGCGGCAGGTTTCATAAATACTTAGGTATATCACTAATTCGAATGTAATTCCTTAAAAGATTGTTTGAATATGTGTTCTATGAAATGTCATTACAATGTTTACAAGTTTATACAAACGTTAAAATCGTTTTTAAAAGGTACTTTTCGTCATTTTGAACGCTTTAACTGTATTTAATCGCCCTTTTCTTTTTTAAATTAACAAAGTTAAATTTTAAACTTACATTATGTATAGAAATAATCACGAGAGTTTACATGTTCCTTTCAGAACACTGTTGAACTGTTTGAATTAAATAACTGAATAACATCATCGAGAAAACGGTCAACTAAAGAGAATCGCGTCACTCAGTCCACGCTTGAATATTAAAAATGTCCATGGGTGACCACATTTCGGTCGGTGGTCGTTGGAGATCGAGACATTAAGAGCATTCAGTTTAGTTAAATCTGTGAGTAGCACGTCTATAAAAAGAGAGGTACCGAAGACAATTATAGTTTTGCTGACAGGCAAATGACCACCAAATAAAAAGTGGTTGTAATTCGTGTAGTTTTGAACCAGTTGAATAGGATTCTTTGATTAGGTCTACGTCTAAATGCCGTGATGGTTGTAATTGTATACCTACTTACACAAGTCTATTGTGGAGTTCGACCCTAAAAATAAAGATTTACATTATAAAGTTACCTAAATATGTCAATTATGCTTTCAATTAGGCACGAAGCTTCGTAGACGTATTACTAATCTCTCACATAAGATGAACCAATTAATTACCTACATACCGAGATGAATGTTGATTTCTAATAACCAGTAATGTGTTCTGAAGTTGTAAGTGAATACGGCATTTGTAAGTTTAAAGAAAATGACGATAACATTCCTTTACAGGTACAAAGTTCGTTTATATTCTTGATGACAAAAACAGGATAATCCATAAAGACTCAAGGTATAACATTCGATACAATTTTACACATGAATGATCTCTTGACATCTAGTTATTGAATTTAGTGGCATAATATTAGGTAGGTACTTTTTGCAGATAAAAATTTCAAAAAACACTGTTTTGCTAAGTATCAATTTCTAGCAGTTTTACCTTACGATCTCAGTCCAACCGGGATGATTACAATATCGACATAACTTATATTCCAAATCCTTTTAAACAAATTACATAGGTAATATCTGTATATATATTTGGCGTCTAATGCTATTTGTCTCACCTACGTGCAGGTAAGAATGTAATAACTACAAAATGCTGCGTTGGTTCATTTAAATTCATCTATAATATCATGTGGCTCTTGCAGATAGTGCCAGTGCGGTGCCATTTATATTAAATAAATATATCTAAAAATAATAAAGGAACTTTCACTATAGTATCGTTTTCGATACATTTTACATAAGCTTGCCGAGTTTCTACATGTAAATGTTTATAAAAACTACAACAATTTTAATTCTACTATTATATCATATTAAGTAAGGGTTCATTATGAGGTTAAAGACAAATATGAATGGTTCAATACGAAATAAAGACAAAAGATATAGTTGGTACATTATAAAAACTGGCAGACAGAATTTAGAAACAACCATTTATATTAAATAATATTTAAGTAGGCATTATAACTAAACAAATAATGTGGCGTAAATTAACTACCTTGTAGTGCCAATATATTATCACAACGCGGACATGATTGTTTTAGATCCATTATTATATATTACAATCCGACATTAATACATATCTTTATAAATTTAATGTGGTACCTAAGTGAATTACATAACAGCAAGGTACAAATTACACGTAGACTTAACAATTTCAATACATTAAGATTAATTATATAGCCTGCATCTATTTTAGTGCTTGACATTTAATATTTTCAGTTACATACACGCGTAACAAAGGTGGCGTTACTCTAGTATTTATTTAAATGAAAATTAACGATTAACCTCATTTGGAGTATTTAAGATGTTCCCTTTGTTGATTTCTGTTAAATAAGGATGTAAGTAAGATTCTTTTAATGCTTATTAAGACTGATTGCTTCATATCTGAGTAAGAAGTTATACTTATCTGAAATATTTAAAGTGTTGTATACAATATACACCTAATAAATAATAATAAACAATAATACACCTTGTGTGGTACCTATACAATACATAATTTCTAAAAACAGTCAGAAAAGGATATTACATATATTATTCATGTAGCATCAAGAAGTTTTTAGGTCTGTCAAAAATGACTAGCAAAATCATAAACCATTCTCTAATTAATTAATACAGTTAAATCAAGGAAGATCATGTTTTCCATGAATGTTTCTCAAGTAAAACCTTTTTAATTTGACTCCTTGTATGAAATCCCATATTAAAACAGTCAAATTAAAAGGTTGGCTATTTATATTCTTTAATCGAAAAAAGTACTTTTTTACAAAATGTCGGTGGAGGTTATTTATTTGCATTGAACCATCCAAAAATTGCTTAAGGTATACCTATGTACCCACTTAAACAACAAATTTAACATTATTAAATATATTATCACAAAATTCTATCTCTACAAACTTTATAATTTTTTTTATAATTTTAATTTAAAAAATACAAGCAAGCTATTCTACAAAATAAATGAGACAAAACTCTTAAAAATGACAGTCAATTCAAAAGAGTGGCATGAGATTTTCATTCAATTTCACGAAAAAAAATGATTTTTACAATTTGACACAAGATAATTTGATATATACGGTACGGTTTTAATCTGATTATTATAATTTTGAATATCATATATATATGTATATAAGTACATACTTGATGAGATGATCATACATATTTACTAAATTATATTAATTTAGAGAAACATCTATAAATCAAAATGTATATATCAAATAATCTAATATGAATTTTAAGTTTTTTTTTTCTGAAATAAATAAAATTTTACATGCTTGTATGTGTCATTTTACATGCTTATTTTTTTCATGGAAGAGGTGTCAAACAAGCGGACGGGTCACCTAAAGGAAAGTGACTACAGCCACCCATTAACCCCTGCAACTCAGGAGTCACAAGCGCGTTGCCCGCTTTTTGCATTTATTTATGAGTAAATTAAAGAGACATATATTTATCAGTGGTCTGGTTACCATAGTACATGCTCGGCATAATTTGAGATCAGACTACTGTGTGTGAGATGTATAAGGTTATTATTATTATTATAATGACATAATAAGACAATAAGTCAATTTAAATAACCAATTACACTTTTAAAAAAATAATTTCATTCTTTGAAAAAATTATCAATTTTTTTATCACAAATTATTAGATTTCTATATAATGCCTTACAGTATCACTTAAATAGGTTGAAATAACAATGTGTTAATTAAATGCATAATTTAAAAAAACAACTGCCTTTTTTATGTATATGGGTTAATAGAAGGCTTGTCTCTGATATGTTTCTCAATATTGTCCACTCTTAACATGTCGTAATTACAAAACGTATTATTAATTAGAGCAAAATGACAACAATGAACACTGTTAATTTGTTAAGGATAATTAATTAGTAATGTAACTAGTGTTAATTTAAGCATCTTTTTAATTATGCCTTTGTTGAAACATAGCACCAATTCAATTATGTGTTATTTATGCTAAAATAATTTATTTTAACAAGCAAAACCAATATTGTTAATGAATTTCAAAAGCCCAACCTTCTAGAGCTTATTATTTGTTGGCTAACTCTTAGACACAAAATGTCCCTGGCCAGCCGTGTCAAAAAATTGACACGTAATTTAATAAAAAGCATTCATTTTCACTACTTCTAGGTCAAAAAAGTCACTAGATGAATTAAAAAGGCATTTGTATCAATAATCTGGACAGCGAGTATGAGCTATCTTGCCAACAAGAGCTGTTTTTGTGTCCGATGCCATAGCAGTATGTACCACTATAGCTGGTTGTGTTGGAGTTGGAGCGTGCAGTTCATGACTCTCGCCAGGTGATAAAGTAGCCAATGCTGCTAAGAGATCATGATTAACTAATGGTTCATTTTCTTCACGTGGCTCCCAGCCAACTGGGGGGCTAGACGGCGGCGAAATTAGAAATTGCTTGACAGGTGCAGGTGGCCGAAGGTTTTTAAATGAGACCGGTGTCACTGGTTGTGCAAAGTAACAGTTAATGCACGAATTATGAAATTGATATTGATGAAGCTGTACGCGAGCATTTGCTGCGGCTAATGGGCTGTCGTAATTAACGCGCAAACGTTTGAAACTGCGTAGCCATTGAAAAGTGATATTGTCTGAAAAAGTGCGGAACAAATCTTCCATTCCTCTCTTTAATATCTCATCGGCGAAAATGTCACTGTGGATATTTGTGACGATCACAGATTTCGGCAAATCATCTAAATCATCTACTTCATCTTGAACGTCATGTTCTTGCTCTAAATTAGCAATATTGGGGTGAATATTAGGCATGCCATCTTCGGCATTGATGTAGACGTCGTCTTCTTGAAATGAATCTTCGTTCTCCTTATGTGCCATAATGCAGTACGATTAGCTATCTAAAACAGTACTACACTTATCGTTTTTTACACACTGCACTGCAATTTATTAATTCAAAAAAACATAACAATATGTAACGTCCGGAATATTTTTATTTTTAATAATCGATTACAGCAAATCTTTTAACTGTCAAATAATGTCACTATGACACCACAGAAAATAACGAACACAACTACATGTTTTTGCTTCGGAAGTATAGGCGTAACCTAAACTTTGGAGTTAAAAAAAACCTAAGTGTATCCTAAGAAAAATCCTTCTTAAAAATAAGAATTACGGCAATGCACATCCTCGAGAAAAGATCTCTCAAAATTTACTAAACTAAAAAAATAAATTAAACATCGTTATTACGGGCCTGTTGGTCTGATTGTTAGTGACCCTAACTGCTAAGCAGGAAGTTGTAAGTTCGATTCTCACCCTGGACAAATAATTATGTTATGAGCAAGATAATTTTGTTCTGTGTCTGGGTCTAATATATCTATAATACGTATGTATTTAGAATTATTTAAGAATGTAGTATTTCATTCCGGTCCACCGCCTTCAGCTCTACAAGGCGCAAGTCCGGCCGCATGTGGAATACTGTTCTCATCTCTATGCAGGTGCACCTCAGTATCAGCTTCTAACTCTGGACCGCATTCAACGAAGAGCGACTCGAATCATCGAAAGCCCAAACATCTCCGATCGGCTCGATCCCTTGGCGTTACGTAGAGATGTGGCTTCACTCTGCATTCTCTATCGCATATATCATGGAGAGTGCTCCGAGGAATTGTTCGGTCTAATACCAGTCGCAAATTTTCGCCATCGTTCCACACGGCAAAATTTTCATCCTCATTACCTGGATCGTTGGCGCTCCACTACTGTGCGCTTTTCGAGACACTTTTTGCCCCGCACAAACAATTTGTGGAACGGGTTCTATTCTGCGGTATTTCCGGACCGATACGACCTTCAAACCTTCAAAAAAAGAGCGTACTCCTTCCTAAAAGGCCTGCAACGCGTTTGTGACTCCTGAGTTGCAGACGTTCATGGGCGGCGATAGTCACTTTCCATCAGGTGACCCGTCTGCTCGTCTGCCCCCTTTAACATAAAAAAAAACACTAGGCTTTGCCTAGTTTTGGATCGAGCGATCGACCGAGCGTAACTCTGAATTGTGACCGAATTTTTATATGATGTGTTAAGTGCTATTATTATTTCAGTTCTTCATTTCTAGTTAATTAACAAACAAATAAACATGAACCCCAATTATCATAATAAAAATTTGGTCAAAATTCAGTACCAATCTACTCTTTATCTCACAAACGTCATAGAAAGAATTTTCGTAGTAAAGTTTGAAACATCCAACGTCGATAACCTTTTTTTTTAATTTATTTGGGGACAACGCAAGTATTATTTTTTAATCGATCAAATAATGTATTTTGCGAATATGGGTATATAATGAAGGTGTTAATTACATTGTATTATTCCAGACCATAATCCCATAGGTATGCAAAATGTTTTTTCTTACTCCTAACTTGACAAACGTACTAATTAATATTAAAGTAAAATGTAAAACAACATTATTATCTAAATACTCCTTAACATCATAATAACATTTAATTTTCTTTTTAATAAAGGAATGCGTTTAATTGCAATAACAAAAGTCGGAAGTCTATTGTACAACTAGTTAGGTGCCATACAAAATACACGTTTATTTAAAAGGGTTGTTTTACTCGTTTGTACCTGAATTTTGTGACTGTGTTTATTGCTGCGAAGCGGGATATATGAATTTAAATTACTTTTGTACAAAAACAATAACTTCAAAAATATACAAACACTAGCTTTTGCCCGAGGTTCCGCAAGCGTTTTACATATTTTATTACTAGTGTTCCTAGAACGGTCCGTACATGCACCAACTTAAAAAAAGGAGAAAAAAAAATTAAGTTGTAATTATATTAAATGAAAAGAAAACAGGCTATTAGTAAGCAGATTTTAAAATCCTACAAAAAAGTTTAGATGGTGGCGAAACGGAGAACCATTTCTTATTTGGCAATTCCACATTTTCTGTCACATTGTGGCGAGTTTGTAGTAACCTTTGTGGCTACCCCTTAGCAAGAACAAGCCACTGTTCTTGTTATTGCTCCGAGGTAGCCACAAAGTCGCTAATTAAGCCCCCATTTCTTTTTTGTCCGATTATATCGATTTTAAATAGAAAAAAAAGTACAGTAAAAGCGATTTTTGTATAGCGCTCTATGTATTTTGCTTTTCGGGGCCCTAGTGACGATGGGGGGTGTGTGGCTGCGTGGCTCTTAAGGTAAAGACGGTACTGATACTTATAGTTTTGTATGTCCCGGAATAGTATGCTATTCCAAATTTCAGTTTTATAATTATAAATAGGGGCGCCCAGTATATATGTGAGAACACATAAAATAATATTTGTGTGTGTTATTTACCGAAAAAATTACTTGATACTATTCACAAGTTCTGTATAATTTACTGTAATACTAAAAATAATTACACCTATTAAAATTAAACAATAATCATCCATGGCGGAGTTCAGCAGTTTGTTTCTTATATTTTTATAAAATTACACAACTTAGTGCAGTCTTCCATTCTACTTCACCACTCGTCATTACACTGCTTATTTCCTTTCTCTATTCGAATTCTATTTTACGTATCTACATCATCCATATTTTCTTTGGTTTGCCTCTATTTTTTTTATCCAAAAGTTGCATGTAGGCAACAGGACCTTGCTAGTTACTAGTTACAAAAAAGCGTTTTGTCGTTGGCTTTGTGAGTGTTTATACACTTTGGTGTTGTTATGCTCTGTTGTCAAAATCGCTTTCTGTTGTCTTCTAACTAAAATAAAATAGTGTTTTGATGCATTGTATTGTTGTAGCATTTTGTAGCAACTGTGTTGGAAAAGGACATTGATTCCTAATTTGTATAATTTGACTATGAAAATGGCGGGATTGGAGTCCATGGTAGTTGAGGAGGTTAAGCCTACAGAGAAGCCGGTCGATAGAGAGAAGGTTAGAATTAAATAATTTGTAACCTCAAAAAAACTTTAAAATTGTCTGAGGAATTTAGCGTACTACTTCATTACTTTTTTTTTTGATAGTATTAATATTAGTGAAATATCTAAATGTGTTCAATCTGTTTGTTTCGCAGTTGTTTTCCATAAAAATATAAATTTGTTACTAAAATAACTATCCTGTATGTTTGTTGTCAGTCACTAACATTTTTATTGTTTTTGGTTTTATGCTTTACAGACTTGCCCATTATTGCTTCGCGTATTCTGTTCAACTGGACGACACAATTCACCTGGTGACTATGCAAGGGGGAATGTTCCTCAGAATGAACTTCAAATATATACATGGATGGATGCAACACTTCGTGAACTCACTGGTTTAGTAAAAGAAGTGAATCCGGAAACGAGACGCAAAGGCACATACTTTGACTTTGCAATTGTTTATCCTGATATAAGATCACCTACATACCGTATGAGGGAGATTGGTGTCACATGTTCTGGACAGCGCGGAGGTGATGATAACAAAACTCTAGGTCAAGTGAAATTCCAAATTGGCAATTATTTGGATATATCTATAACTCCACCAAACAGAATGCCACCACCAATGAGGCGCCCGCAAGGTTATATTAATAATCGACCTTATTAGCTTTAAATATAATAATTGTAAATTGTAAGACCATTATGTTAGTAATAAAGTCATCAACTATTTGATTTTTTTTAAGAAGAAGTTTCACTTGATTTGACAAAAAGAAAAAAAAATCTAAGTAAGCCAAATAAACTGAACTACTATAATTATACATAAGAATGGATTATCAATATTAATTGTTCTTAGCTAAAATGTTATTTCAAATACATGAAATACAAGTGATGATAACTACAGAGCTTTTCCGCTGTTTAATAGTTAATATATGTATTTCTGTACATAATAGAATGTAAACTTTATCTGACTTCAGAAACATGAGACATATTTAGTATGTTTGTTATGCAATATCTCTGTCAATTGATGACTGATTTTCAAACTTCTTGTTGTAATCGAAGGGTATACATCTGAGGTGGTCCCATTATCCCCAAATTAGGATCTGATGATGGGATCCTAGAGAAATCCAGCAAAACTGTTTTTTTTTTCTCTAGCTTTAGAGGTATTTGCGTTTAGTAGTCGTTTTGTCATGTTGCTGAGCTGATGATGGAAGGATTCTTGATCTTTAGGAGTTAGAAAATAACTCTTTCAAAATTCTAATCATTCATTGACCTTGTTTTATTCTTTCAAGATATTTGTTAGGTGTTTGTGTAGGGTTACAGAGATATGTGCACAAGAGAGTAATAAATGAGATTACAAAACATTTAGACAAAAAATTTTTTGTTATGCAATAATTTTCTTGTTTTTTACCTAAAAACTCTTTCACTTGTGAACTGATTTGGAAAATTCTATTTTTATTTTAAAATTATTTTTGTAATCAAACAGATATAGGGTTTTGCACCGACTTCAAACAGACTAGAAGGGACTATTGCTATTATAATGTTACTTGTCATATTGAGGGTACTTATAGTTAGTTATAGTTGTTTTTACTTAGATTTGTAATTATTTTTGAATTTTTAGTGCTCTTTGTCAGTAATGTTTGAAGTCGGTTCAACTTTTTTTATAAAAGGATTTATTACTGTTTACCAAACATCATTGAGTGCCTCGATGGCGCAGTGGTAGCATATATGCGACTGCTGTGCTGTTGTCTCAGGTTTGATTCCCGGGCTGGACTAAATGTTTGTATTATCTGTTTTTCTAATAGGGGCTGACCCAATGCTGTGCTGGTTTAGGGTGCTTTTCCACCCAGATAGCATCAATGAAAACAGCCACATAGTTTTGTAGCTTAGCTTTTACATCCTCACAGCGTAAGCACATTACTGGTGGAAAAGCACCATTAAGCGGTCACCATTGCTTCCTTACTGTTCTTACCTATGCTTCATACCTGAGTTTTGTTTGTTCGAGAGCCAGACTCAGAACAACATGTTTAGTGAATGATTATGAGCTGGAGTTGCCTTTTTAACAATCTTTGTATTAGCCCAGTTTTTAAGCAGGTGTCAAAAAAATTAATGAACAGAGTTTTCAAAACTTAGGCTGTGGACTTATTTGGCATATTGTTAGATTGCATTCCAAAGCTTATGCATATTATGAAAAAAATCATATCAAAGGGCTGGAAGAAATTAAGAATTGAAATAAACATGAAATAAAATCTGACAGTATATTGCATGTAGAATAATAGTTAAGGGTTGCTATTAAAAGATTGATAATATACATTACTTGTAGTCTTACTATAAGAACCAGCTGGTACCCCAATTTTTTTTTTTTTTCCCTGTGCGGTAGTCCCCTCGGATACCGGTAGTCCCCTCGGATACCGGTAGTCCCCTCGGATACCACCTGTCGGTGGCATGTCGGACTCGAACCGACTAAAACCGCACGCCGTCCCGGGTACTAATAGCCGGGGAACCAGGTATACCCTAGAAAGGAACTCCCTGGTGCCCCGACATACCTCGGGTCATCTACAGACGAGTAGACGACCCCCCCCGTGTGTGAACCCCATGTTCCCTGTGCTCCCTGGAAGCGAGCGTGCTTCGTAACGCGCTCGCCGCCGCCGCCGCCCCCCCGGCCTGCTTCTGCTAGGATGACAGATGGCCTCACCTGTCACCCCCAGGCTTGCGCTTATGGTGGACGGAGGTCGTTCTGCGACCTCCGGCGCCTGAGTCGCCTGCGGTACCTGGCCCGTTTCCGGGCCTAGCAGGCCGGGAGAGTCCTAAACCTCTCCCGGTCCTGCTCCGCCGTCTCCTTCGCCAGCATAACTTGCTCGCAGAAGGAGACGACAGAGTTCCACGCACTCTCGCTCCGCACGATAGCCGCAATCAGGCTATCGAGCGAGAGAACTCCCACTCCGATGGCCGCCACGAGGTCTCGCCTCTGCTCAACCCACGCCGGGAACTCTGCCAGCGTGTGGAGAGCTGTGTCCACGGTCTGGCCACCGCAGTGGTGGCACTCAGGCGTTGGCTCCTTGCGGATCAGACACAGGTGATCCCCGAAACATCCTTTCCCAGTGACCAGCTGGTACCCCTGACTTCGTTAAAAAAAGCTGCCTTAGTGGTGTATTACGGTACGCAAATGCAGTCTATGAGGCCTCGGGTTCGATTCCCAGACCGGCAAAATTTTATAGGGTTTTTCTGAGAGGAAAAATAGCCTAAGTTACTCCTTATATAGACAGCAGGTAGTAAAATATTGAAGATTACACGGAACAAACAAAAAACACAACACATCACATCACATCATCAACAGCCTTTAACAGTCCACTGCTGGACACAGGCCTCTCCTTAGAAAGGAGGTTTTGGCCTACTATACCACGCTGGCCAGACGAGTTGGTATAGGGTTTGTGTCATTGATATAATACTTACATAGATGAGTAATTACCGCCTAAAATCGTTGCTACTGCACATATGTCCACAGGCATATGCGTAGCAAACGTCAATTCATTATTCAATGTGGCGTCGACCGAGTTGAACATAGCGACACATGACAGTAACAATCGCCAAAATGGCTAAATGCGTAGTGAAAGAATGCGATTCAAGGTCACAAAACATTATTAAATCATGCGGAATTACTTTTCACGTGTAATTTTATGGTTTTTGTATTGATAATATCGTAAATAAGGCTATAATTGAAATAAAACACTGATAATTGTAATTTAGAATCAGTGTTACCATTAAAAAATCATTTTGGTTTTCCCACATTAGTGGGAGAATTTATAATTTATGAAATAATATGCTTTATACTGTTTTTAAACATTTTGCCAATAATAATAAAATATAGGAAAAACGGTAGTTGTTAGGGCTGGACCGATCCCTTTTTTTAGGGACCCGTTGAACTTTCACTGCGAGCTTGGCAGAAGTGCTGGAGACTTTTGTACAAAAAAATTAATCTATTGGTTTTCTTAATTTATTATCAATTTTAAATAATAATTGTACAAAATAATAATTATAATAAATGTTTATCATAAAAATAAAAATATAAAATAAAAAAGTAAATAAACATAAATAATTTTTTTTATAAAATAAAAATAAAATATTTTTTTATTTTTTTTATTTGTTTTTTAAATTATAATAGAATTTGCAATACACCTTATGGATTATTTATTATCAGTACAAGTTGATCATTCACTTTTATTATTAAATGCTATTATTTTTATATACGTAAAAATAAGATTGTATCATGAAAGTAAAATACACAAACTTATAAAAAAGAGTCTAAAAGACAATTGTATACAAAACTGATGCTTCACAGCGCAGTTTGATTTTACACTGAATATAAACCCTTTTAACCAAATATTTCCAGTTATTTTATTATTTATACCTATTCTATTCAATTCGAAATATATTATTTAGAATATCTAAATTAATTTATTTTATTACAAAATTGTTTTAAAAAAAAATTGTTTCTTAGTTGTTATGGGTAAAATTTCATACGGTAGTCAACACTGGCCCACCATCGTAAAGTTATATCTTTGTCTTTGTCTAATCCGAGCGATGGTATTGTTCTTGTCTCGCGTGTAAATGAGACATAAATATGTTTACTTTCAAATGTTTAGTGGTATCAAAGCTACGTCGTCAAAGTTCAAAAGTGGTTACACTTTTTTCGACGTGTGATAATGAGGTTTGCTTCTCTAGTGTTGTTTTAACTCAATGGTTTGTGTCAAGTTTTCCTTCTCTTTGCGGTACTGGTTGTCCTACGTTAGTTCCCTTAGTCGCCGACACTTACGACACCCACGGGATGAATAGGGGTGGTGGCACTCCGTATTCTTAATCCGTCACCACACGGACGCAAACAAACAAACAAAAAACAGGCAAAAATATTTAAACAAGTTTTCAGGCATTGGTATCATGCAAATAATCGTGTGAGCATGAAAAATACCTATTTTGACACTAAACAGACAACTTCAATTTTATTTATTTGTATAGATGCCACAAACACCGTCCTAAAATTATATATACATATTTTTTATTCCAATAACATAATGGTGTCTAGCTTAGATTATTAATATGTCTAGAAATAGTAGACATCGATATGGAAATAACTGCTACTTTTAAATCATATTCATTTGATGAGAAGATTGGTATCAGTCATAGAGATTCACGTCATTATGATTTAGTCATAGACAAAGATAAATGGGATTGTTGCCATTAACCAATCAAAATTCTTTTGTCAATCAAAAAAAAAAATTGGTTGCCTGTAAAGTCGGTATACGGGCGAAAGTTTTACGTGACAACGACTTTGAGTGGTAAAATAATTTTAATGTGAATATTCATTCGTATAGTAGGAAGAAGGATGAAATAATAGTAACAATTTAAAACATTTATTTATACAAAGAATTATATTTAAAACATTAATTTAAATTTTATGTCTGTCTCTCTCGCTCTTAGGCGGGCTAACCATGCCGGAGTGGAAGGGACGCGTGCCTCTCACTCGCTCTCATTGTGAGCGCATAACGTGAGCGGAGCGTAACGCAGTTTCTTGAAGTGTCACCCGGCAAACCAATTTATAAGACGTTGTCACGTCAAAAAGTTTTGCGCCAGCGTAATAATAAGTAGCAGTAGTCTGGTAAATCAGTCTCAGATGTGATTATATGATTTATATATGATATGATGTATAACATGTGATTGTGATTTTATTCTATCCCTGGAAAGAACTAAAAGAAATTAATGTGCGTGACAGCTTCGTCTTACTGTCACTCACGTCACGTTATTCTGCTTTCCTAGTGTGCGTGCAAGTGTTTCTTTAAAATATGGAAAATCTAACACTGTTAACAGAAAAATATGCTTCGAGAAAAAACAATAATATAAATATGTGTTGAAAGTAATAAAAAGTCTTGAACAACACGTGTCATTATTTTTTTCACACACGCACTAAACTAAGCAGAGCTAGGACTTTGAAAGCTATACTGACTGCATGAATACCCATACATGTACTTTTTTGTAAATCCGTATATGTATATTATCTACATACAGAAAAAACAAACTCCGAAACAAATATTTGCAGGACGTTCAAACATTTTGTTGGACCCGAGACTGTACAGCATTCGCAAACGCAACGCACTATACCATGCCAGTGAACGCCATTCTAATTCACTTTACACAACTACTGAATAAGAAGTTACTAATAAGTTTTACATACAATACCTACATAGTACGTCATAGTTGAGGGTAGTTTTGACTTGAGTTTATAAACCAGCAAACATATAAAATGGCAAACACAATAATAATTTATTATAGAAAGAATTCAATGGCGTAAAATAAGCCGCTGTAACCTATGAATAAGCGACGACTATGAATAACCGCTGTAACGAGTGGCGTGAGGTCGCTTGTCAAGCTACGATGGCTCGTTGGTCGTCCCGGCTGGAGGCTCCATGTGCTGGTTATGCCACAGTGGAGGCTCTCAAGCCAGTCATCGTTATGTAGGCAGGGCGGCAGCACGGGCCCCTTTCGGGCACGGCTGCTTCGGAAAGTACCTGCACTCGGTTGCTAGGAGGGAATTGAGTCTCGCCTGTCACCACTGCGATTGCAGCAAGGACCCGGCTTAGCACACGCTGACAATTAGCCCGGCTTGGGCGTCGCAGCGCCGGGTCCTCATTGCAGTCATCGGAGAGGACCTCTCGCTACCGACCGTCATACGCTCCATGGCCGGAAGTGACAGATGTTTTAGCGCGATCGCATCCTTCTGTGAAGACGTCATCTAGCAGAAGGAGGCGGCGGAGAGGGCCCTGGAGGATGATCTACACTCGGACCCAATTCGCCGCCGAGATCATGGCGGTATAAGTGTGGCCGCGGGTGGACGGGACGGGTTTTTTCCCTCCATCCGCCATAACGGCCATCAGCGAGGCGGCGACTTTTGCGTGTGTCGGACGTCGCAGAAATAGAGATTGTACCTGAAGATGGTGCCCGCGCCATTGCGGGCAGGCGCTAGGAGGGGTCCGGATGTCTTAATACTAGCAGCTCCCGGATCTCTCCTATTACAGGCACGGTTTAAGAAAAAGAAAAAGGTTTTGGTATTTCATAGTGAAATCTATCAGAAATGATGGCAGCTACAACCCTTTATTAATTTACCCATGTAATTTTTCAGGGCAAACTAGGCACATGCCTAGTTAGGTTAGTTAGTTAGGTATTATGTTTACACTATATGCTTTAATATTAAAGATATAACTAAAACATAAATAGGATGAGGGCGTTTTGTTATTTCATAATATATACATTTCACATTAACGGTTTCGGCGGCCTATAACGTCGAATTAGTTGGTCGTCTATTACTCGCAAACTAATAAAGTCTACTTAGTAATAGTTTTCCTTTTAAATTCGTTGTAATTATATGCTACTACCGTGAATTTGTTCAGATTTCCAAATAATGCCGTTTGGCTTAGACGACAGTCGACTCTAACAAAAATCAGCGGCATTAAGGCTAAATATCTCACAAATGGATACCTTAATTAAAATATTATGTTCAGAAACCCTTATTTTTTTTAAAGGATTAATCCACAACCTAGTATGGATGAATATAAAAATAGCATTCCCACTTAATGCAACTACAAATACCCAAATTAAATATTATTCAAGATTTGTCGGCGTGGTAATATTTATGTGAAATTATAGGTTTCCATCACTAATAGTCTGTGGGATATAGTGTTACTCTTACTACAGTTGTTTTCTAATAAATAAACGAATTAACTAATTTTAGTACAATTTCAGCAGATTAAAAAAAGAGAAATATAATCTTGCTTCTCGTAATGTTGACTTGTAGGTAGAACAATGGTAGAAGTTAGTTTAAAGTAATAAAAAATATATATAAAATTATTCACATTTATTTTCATCTCTTACCTGTCAAGGCACATATGAAATACCTGAATCTCATGTTACGTCAATGATAACATACGACGAGACTACAAAAAATGTCCTTATAATTAGATTGTTTCCTACAATAAATATGGTATACTTATTCCTAATAATTTGTGGGTGATCTGAATGGCCTCTTAGATTTTTTTCCCATAGCATTGAGATCAACTGTAATACCATTAGGTAGAACCGCCTTATTTTCTTGATAGTCTATGAAACCTTTTTCACTTTGATCTTCCTTTGTTTTATCGCAAGGAATACCGGTTTCATAGTTGTATTCACGTTTAAGACCATCAGGGTCGACATATCCATACCTGCCTCGTGTGACACAATTTATGCCAATAGTTTCTTCTTTAAAAGATCCGTCATCGTTTTCGAAGCCCCAAGTAATGCCACCATCTTCATTTTCTTCCCTGTATTTACGAATAATCTGAGCGACCGGTTTCTTTTCGCGATTTTGTGATGGCGTGTATTTTTGCTGAGGGGCTGTCCTAACAGGTGCACGGTTAATAGGCTCTTGTGGTCGAGAATACTGTCTAATTGGTGCTTCGTCATCTTCAATAAATGGTTTCGGTTCTGGCCTGAAAACAGGCCTTTGGGGCCTGCTAGAAAGTGGCTGAAGTCTTGCTGGTTGGGGTTTATTAAGAGGTTCGTTTCTTATAGGAGCAAAAGACTGCGGTGGCAGCAGGGGTCTGTACTGAGTTGGTTTTATGGGGTCCTGTTTAGAGGCCGATGGTGTTGATGATGGGTATGGGGAGGGGTTGAAAGCACTTGGAGGTTTCGGTTGTGAAGTAGTAGTAATATCGTAATAATCGTTTTGCGGCTCGGGCGTAGAGAATATGTTCGGGGAGAAAGGAGTCGGAGTATTGATATCAAAGTCATCTTCCGATTCTTCAGTCACTGGTTTAGATGTTTCATCGAGTAATTGGAGGTTTGGTCGTGGGGAGTCATCTACTGATTTAAATGATGGTCTGGCCTGTCCGGGCCTTCTAATCCTAGTTGGTCCTCCTGAGAGCACTGGTGCTTGGTACCTCCCTTGTCGGAAACCGCTTTGCCTGGGGTTGCCTACTGGAATTGCTCCCGGTATTTGTAGTCTTGGTGGTGCTGGCCCGTCATATTGAGCATAAACTGTGATAACACACAGCATACATATCTGGAAAGGAAGACATTTCATAATTGAGTAAATAAATATAAATGATAAGAATAGAGATATCTATACTAATATTATAAAGCTGAAGAGTTTGTTTGTTTGTTTGTTTGAACGCGCTAATCTCAGGAACTACTGGTCCGATTTGAAAAGTTCTTTCAGTGTTAGATAGCCCATTTATCGAGGAAGGCTATAGGCTATATATCATCACGCTAAGACCAATAGGAGCGGAGCACCAATAAAGAATGTTTCAAACGGAGAAAATTTATTACTATTGAAAGACGCAGACGAAGTTGCGCAGGTCAGCTAGTAATAATATATAATTATGTTAAGCCAGTGAGTACTGAGACTTAGCCCCGCCTATTTTGCTTTTAGGTCAATAAGAGAGAGCGTTTATTTATGTAGCGTATATTATTACTAACCTTCTTTAATATCAGCCGGAAGAAACTGATAAACTTTTGGAAGACATAATTTTTTTTTTAAAAGACTATTCTCGCACTAGGAATAAATCCTGTGTCACGGGGGACTTTACAAACATACATGAAACGGACATAAAGTACTCCCAGACTCAGAACAACAATTTGTGAATCACACAAAGTGTTGTTCCATGTGGGGTTTGAACCCACAACACTCGGCCTAATAGGAAGGGGCGTGGCGACCGCTAAAACCGAATAAATATGAAAATGTAAGTCTGTATAGCTTTGTTATTACTTATTTTTAATTTTTAAAAGCCACTTAACAATGAAATCTTTAAGTTACAAGAAGGATGGCAACGGGCTGGCCTTTAAAAGTCACCGTTATCTCTTACACTGAATAATAAACCTCTAGCCATCGTATAATAATGGAATGTACTGCGTAATGCTAAACCTAGTAGTAGACCTTCGCAATTGATATAGCATGTTCTACACTTGACTCCGCTTAGTCGATCCATGCAGATAGAATCGCTTGCCTTATAGTTATTCCATTGTGTTTTGTACAAGTGACTATTTACGAATTTGATTAGATTGCATAATTTGGAGTAGAATTTCTAAATATGTCTTTGCACGAGTACAAGCGGATTGCCATGAATATTTTAGCATTGGTATGTGCACACTACATAATGTTAAGCTCTGGCGTAATTTTTTTGTTAGGTAAGTTGCAATATTTTAAGTTGTTTGCGGATAATATAGTTTTTTACACAATTAACTACAATGAACGTATGTATATTACCAGCACGTATGTTTTAAATAATTTCTGTTATTAAGTCCAGTGTTCAGTCAATAGTGTAATAAATGAGAATTAGTACTATTATACTTAGAGTAGCAAGTATTTTGGGAAAATAATCAGACAGTAGTTTTAACTTTTGGTACACAGTAGAGAGGCACCCCCGTGTTTAAAATTTTGAATTAAAACCTTCACTTTTTATACACACTACTGTAGAGCAATATGAATTAAGCGACAATGTTAGACCTGTCCTCGGCTGTGTTAGCTATTAAATAGGTACAAGAGTGGCAATGATATTCATTACAATCTAATTGACACGTTGGTACGATTGCGGCAAACAAGTCTTTTGGTAAATACACTTGCAGCTTAAGAGATGACACGTGCCAATCCTACTTAAGAAAAATTGATCCTATAAATTTTATTAGACATTTATATTTATTTTACTAACAAAAAGTGATATTTCCTAAGCAATTATTGTAGAGAAATCAGTATAGATATTGACAGAAAACACCTTATGAAGAGATAGACAGATTATTGTTATGTAGATTGCAAACATTGCTTGTCAGGTGGCAGAATGTAGAAAAATTTTTTAGTTTAGCCAGACCATCTTCTTATCATTCGCGAACAGGGTATTTAATATTAAACGCGTTTTTGTTTGTGTTCTTGTATTATGATTTTTTATAGTTTAATACTATACTATTACTAGTCATATACTAATAATTTTTATGGTTTTATAGTTTGTGGACAGGGGCGCTATCAGCAAAGTAGATGACTCGCACCGTAAGAGGATAAGGCAATACTGTAAGAGGGCAATACTGTGTACCGGGCAAGTAAGTGCTGTTCTATATTATATCAATTTTTTAGTCATCATCAACAGCCTTTAATAGTCCCCTGCTGGACATCAGCCTCTTCTTAGAAAGGAGGTTTTGGCCTACTATACCACGCTGGCCAGACGGGTTGGTATAGGGTTTGTGTCAAGTTTTCCTTCTCTCTGCAGTGCTGTTGTCCTGCGTAGTTTTATCCCTTAGTCGGCTCTTACGACACCCACAGGATGTATAGGGGTGGTGACACTCTGTATTCTTAATCCGTCACCACGTTTTAGTAAGCTCTTATTAAAACAATAAACAAATATTCCCCAGAGATAACAATAACGATAAAACTATAAAGAAACCTTTTTATTGCAAAACGTACACCGCTTTGAGAAAGTAAAGTAAGTAGGTGTCTAATGATTTATACATTGCGACATTGTTCACAACTCAACGACTTACTACAACGTACTCTGAGAGTTTCAAAACAAAACGATATGATTGTACATGATTGACAAACATAAAAATTAGTATCAGGAACGAACGGATACTTCCAAATTAATGGTCAATAAAAATCTTTACGTAACGTATGTTTTAAATGTTGAGATATTAATGTCGAAGTCAATGTTATCTGTTTCAATTAACTTTGTGCAATCTATGAGTATGAAGACCGAGACTCATTTTGTCTACATGAAGGACGTGCTGATCGTCAATCCAAGGCGTCTACATTATCACAAGGTGTCCGGTCAGTGTGAAATAAGGAAGCTACTAATTTAAGATATTTAAAGTAGTGTCTATTGTCTTATGATGCCAAGTTAAAGTTTAAGTCCAAGTTAAAGTTTTTTATGTTACCAGATTAATATAGCCGTAAAATAGCCTGAAAATAAAGGATCTCTTAAAATAGAGCAGATTTAGATACAACATTATTTCCAATTTACTTCTATTGCTATTAATAACCTAAAAACCTTGAAGACATTTTGCCGGTCAGATCTCCATCTGATCTGATCAGATCTGATTCCAAAATATGTAGAGCTAACAGTGTTAACCGGACTGCCGACGATTATTTGTCCTGGCTTGAAATCGGACCTACGAGCTTTGGAAGTCGAACCTACGACTCAGCAGTCAGGATTAGTAACTATGACTAATAGTCTCAATCAATTTGATGTATAAAGCGACTTATCTAAAGTACCTCCTATTCTTTTAAAATAATATTTGTTTTAAAAATAGTAATAATTCATTTTTTAAATTGCAGCTGGTAAGGGTGTGAGCAAACAGATCAGTAGTAAGGACGCCCGGCGGCGCTCTTGCTTCCGCCACTCAAGGTGAGGTGAAACGTTGGAATGGCGCACAATATATTAAATACTAAATAATTATTAAGCTGTCTATGAAATGTCATGTTGCTCAAGACAATGCATATCAAAATCAAACGTTATTTATCAATTATTTACTTGAATGAAGGAGTGAAGGTTACGATTTCATTGCGATTTTACAATTATATTTAAGTTTCTTTCCTTTTTGCGGTTTTTTCTTTTTGGGGACTTAAAAGACAAACGACACATTACCACGTCGTGAAATCTTTATTTGCTAATTTGTTACGGGGCAACGCGTACATTGAATTTTAACCGGTGTTGAAAGATTACAAAAGAATAATTATATTTTTGTTAAATATTAGATATTTTGTACAGTTATAGTTTAAACATTGTGTTTTGTTTGAATATTCATTGCTTGACAGCTTGAAACTAGATTTCATTTAATTCAAGAATCTAGATATATAATAAGTTTATTATCCAAATGGGTGTACCTATTTATAAAATTAAATTGTTGTAATAGGTTTCGTGTACGACAAAAATGCAAGCGTTAATTAAATACTTTTGTAAATTCCTCTCTTATGAAGAAATATGTATGACAAAAACAGTTACATTAATCCTATGTTTATTGAGTTTCTTTCATTTATAACGATCAACAGAAAGATGAATATACAAGATGAATCTCAACTCCTAAAATTAAATGCCCAGCTCTTGTCTCAAATAGCATTAAGATGGTATTTATTTAAACCTAAGAGTATTAAATTTGTGATCTCCTGCAAACATAAAGTGTTTCGCAAGAAAAACGATTTTATAATGCCTGCCAAAACACTAGCAGTACTAGAATACTATAGAGAGTAAAAAAAAAAGGTGTTTTTAGAGAATGAGTAGTATTTGCAAAGGCAAGCTGTGGCAAGATTTGACCACTTAAAGATATCTAAAAGAAAAGAATAAGAGTGCCATTAACCGAACTAAATCAGACAAAAGAGTTCTATAATAGAGTGCTAAAGACAAATGAAGTAACAGCTGACAGTACTGCAATGAATAATAATTAATAAAAAAAAAAAAACTTGAATAATGCGTAGTAGCTAATCTGGCAAAATATAAATTAAGCAGTTCGCAAAACAAGAAGATACAGATTTAATACATTCTAGAATTATTGCTATATTTTAAATAAGTAAAAAAAGATTTCTAAGCATTATACAAAGTATAGTAAACCTTAACAAGTGATACGAGTCATGATATTCAAGCGTAGGGACGCGTTGATGTCTTTTGTAAGAGATTAGTGCGCATCAATAAAAACAGCGTTATAACCCAATTGTTATTGGATAATAACCTGGGTATTGAGTTTTAATTCTCACGTAATAAAATTACCATATTACATGCATCGTACACGTCATGCTTTTGTGGATAACAATTCAAACGAATCGAAAAATAATTGCGGTTAATTTATGGATATTAAAATAAACTGTAAACCCAATTATGTTAACAAGTTTAAAGTTACCAGAATATCCAGACGGTGATCATTCAAAATTTAGAGTAATGTTGCCTTGCTGCTACTGAGAAAAAGACTTGAGGGGGCAAGGTTTACACGTTAGACTATCTAAGAGTAGATTATTCGTTGAGGGTTTAACGTTATATTGGAACTAAGTATATTGACTGACTGTAAATTTCTCTAAAGGTCATTTATGTTCTAGAGTAACCTTTATGCCACTATTTTACAAAGAGGATTTAGGCAAGCCTTGCTAAAATTGTTTAAAAAGAGCAATAAATTTAGTAGTGAACCAAAGCTTTAAATGTTTTATTTTTAACACAATAAAGTATTAAATATAAAAAAGCTTAATCAAGGTCTAATATTTTTTTCAATTCACGTTTCTATATATACTATTTACTGTATAAAACCTTCTGTAATTGTTACACTGTATATATATACACTTCACAAATGACCCCATAGCAGCATACTTATTTTAACTCTCTTCATAACATAACTACCTAAAGGTTATAACAATCGGTATTTAACTGAACACTTTCAAATAAGTAATGGACCGCTTGATTAGTTAAAGTTTTGTAGAATCATAAACATCGGTAAGGTTATTTTTATCTTAAATGTAATTATGAATTTGTCACATTTCATACTAATGATGTGTGAAATAAGATATAATTTAAAAGCTGCGGGAATTAAAAATAATTACTTCTTAAATGCTCCGTGTGGCGACGGAATAAGAATACGGAATGTCACCAACCCTATTCATCTCGTGGGTGTTGTAAGAGTCGACTAAGGGAACAAACTGCACAGGACAACAGCACTGCAAAAAGAAGTAAAACTTGAAACAAACCCTTTTTTTTTTTTTTTTTTAACGTGTGGAAACCACACCCTCGGACCGTCACCCCACCGGGGTTTGCGGCGGGGTGGTGTGTCGGACTCGAACCGACTAAAACCACACGGTGTGCCCTCTTTGCGCTTCCAGTTTAGGAGGGGTCCAGGTAGTTATCGCCTTCTGGACCCCTCCTAGCGCCGGCCCGCTCCTATTGCGGGCCCCGTCTCAAAATTTTCCTCTCTTTAGGCGACGTCCGGCACACGCGGACGCCGCCCCCTCGCGGCTGGCCAAACTAATGCGGGTGGAGGGGAAACCCACCCCGTCCACCCGCGGCCACACTCAGGGCGGCATGAGGCGCAGGTAAGCGCGCCTCCGCCGCCCGGTTCGCCGGCGGCGGATCAGGTCCGAGTGGAGGTCGTCCTCCCGGGCCTTCTCCGCCGCCTCCTTCTGCGAGATTACCTCCTCGCAGAAGGTTGCGACCGCGGTAAAACAACTGTCGCTACCGGCCATGGAGCGATACCAACCCTATACCAACCCGTCTGGCCAGCGTGGTATAGTAGGTCAAAACCTCCTTTCGAAGGAGAGGCCTATGTCAAGCAGTGGACTGTTAAAGGCTGTTGAAGATGATGATGATGATGACTTCTTGAATAGGCATGTGTTTCGTCTTACAAGATTATTTATTTTATGTCTGATCTGTTGCATTTATCTTATAGGGGTAAGAAACAAGAGATGTCATTCACATACATATTAACATAAGTTTATGTTCCCGAATTGATAGCATTAAATCCCTGTGACGTAAGTGACTTATGTGAAGAGGCCTTATTGCCGTCGATAATTTTTTTACTTAATTCGTAGGCACTTGCACACAGAGAAATTAGGAGTATAATAGAAGGCAGTAAAGAAGAAAACGATAATGGTAGGAAAGGAATATTGATTATAGCGATAGACTGGAGTGCTTAAGAAATAGCTCTAGCCTCTCATAGTCGCATATCTGTGACTCGAAGTGACTGTTGTTGGAAAGTTCGAGCCCTCTAACCCACATTGTTTAATTTCTACTATAATATTATAAACATGAAAGTACTCTGTCTGCCTGTCTGTAATTCTTTAACGGCTAAACCGCTGAAACGACTTTAATGAAATGATTTTAATGGAGATACCTACTTTGTTTCTCGAAAAAGGAAATAGGCTACTGTTTACCGCGATAACCGACATATACGCGGGCGGTACCACGGGGAAAACTAGTTGTTCTATAAATTCTTGACGAATATAAAATAACTAATAAATATACGGATTAAAAATTATTTTAAAGGGAATATTTAATTCATTCATTTATTACCAAGGAAAGTAACTGACGGGAAAAGTGGTTTATATATACCATCGCTGTTAGTAGCAATCTTTAAGTCATGGTCAATGAGTGAAAGCTGTATTAAACTGGATCTTTGTTATCAATAAAATAATAGTTCACTTATAGAAATGTAGTGTACAGCTTAGAATTTTGTTAGTTACTTATGAAAGAAATGTGCAATCAATGTTTTTGGGCTATTGGGTCATTTATACGTATTAGTTATGTAAATTAAGACTTCAACGCGGCCATTTGTGTGTTTATCATGCGGAGCATTTGTCGGAGTCGGACCCATCTACAGTAAATACAAATCCTCTACACTGACCGTCACTATTACCTCAGAATAGTACGTGAAACAGGAGAAATTGAAAAAAATACAACAATTTCAACTGAGAAGCTGGGTATCACTGGTCCTGGAATCCCTACATCGGGACATGCTATCGTGATCGAACATTCTCTACTTTTACGTCATAAATAATGATTTAGTTTTAAAATTCTTAATTTTCTACCGATCAGTTTAAATATGTAGGTCAAACAAGCAGACTGAGATGGTGTCGTATTAATGACAACCTGTTATCATAGCACATGAACATTTTAAGGGTATCACAAACACTCTAAAATCCCTTGTAATCGAGTAAAATAAAAAGGAGGAGTAACTCGATTTGTCGATTACTATACGTTTGTATGTACATCGCACACGAATGAACGAAGTTATTTAATGATTTACATTAATTCACCTATTTTATTAAGAAGAGTAATATTTAATTTAAAAAATATGTTTTAAAATGTTAAATTGTAATTGATATACAAGGTGAAAATTAACTACGCAACTCCGAAAGATAATCTGAAATTCGTCAAGCAGCTTTTCACTGACAAATATAATGCGTAAGCCCGGAGCACTGAGTTTACAAATATTTCTTTTTATAGTGAATGGTCACAATTTAGTTTTACCTACTGTTGAAACAGAACAAGTTATGCGTATCAAAGCCCGTACCTACGTCCAATGGCCAAGCCTGTTAATAACAGTGGGCCAGTGAGGCAACGTAAGGCATTTTGTCCGTAAGAGTAACGTACTTTACGTAATTCATCTATTAACATGACAAGTTACTTGCCAAATTCTGTGTAATTTGCACTGAGTTATTAATTCCAACTGTCTTATTAAGGACACTGTTATGTATTGTAATGTAAATCGAGCGACCGGTACTAGATTTACGGTAGTTCTCAATACTGAATTATCAGATCACGCTCGCTTTCAAGGTTTTTATGCGAAATTGATACTTCGAATGCTTATGTATGATCGACCTGGATTTGATCACTTGGATACCAATTTACTTATATATTATTCATTGACATGTAATCAAGAACTTGTTGTGAGTATATAGTGTAGTTAGATAATGCGACCGTTTGCACGTATATTCAAATCGGTTCACTTTCACAAAGTTGTGTCCTTACATTATCTAAGTATGGTGATATTTATTTATACTTAGTTTACTTTTTGTACTCTTTGTTGATCAAAGTAAAGACCGTAACCGTTGCATTGTTTGACACTTTTTCTATTACAACAAAAAGAAAGAAGCGATCCATAAATATATAAAGCCATTTAATACCTATTTCACTTGATGGACCAGTGCATAAAAGTCAAAGTTAAATTTTACAGGTTTTTCGATATTATTCCTTTTACTAGTCACCTTGTAATTATCAGAGAAATTTAAAATGTCACTTTATTTAATAAAAGCACTTTCTAAAATAAATTTTAAGGAAATGGGGAAATAATTAATGTCATGTTTGGTATGTAAATGATGTAAGCGCCCTTGGTGAGGGCACGCCACTGAAACTCACCAGCAAAGTACGCATGATGTCTCCTGCGCGTGGGCTCACGTCACTATCACGCAGCGGACAAACAACAAATAAAGGAAACGCCTCCCGCGCAAGCTATATGAGGTCGCCCACTCTCGCCCTGCGACCGACGCGACCACCATACCTTATTGCAAGGTGACCGACTGTGAACGCATACCGCCACCACACACTCCCAATGAAATGCATCACTTTATAATTTGGTAACGCTTGCCGCGACGATACCGCTAAACGATCTAATTAATTTAAAAAAAACGATTCTTTTGTTTTTGTATTCGAGACGCGAATGTATTATATTTAAATTTTTCGTTATTTCTGATGTAACGTTAGTTTATTATTGTATATAGTATATACTTGGGTATTTAAGGTCTAGAATGAAGTTCCTACTGTATAGTCTCTAAGAACCGGATTAGGACCTTATCGCCAAACTCATTGAGTGGCATAAATATATTAGACACTTTAGTACCTTTACCTATCTTATTTGTATACCTTACCTTAATTATATAAGATCGTCGTTGGATCTCACTGAGTATTGAACTTGAATTAGAACAGAAATTGTATGTAAGTACCCAGTTTGGTACCATACGTTGTCTACTGCTATGTAAATTACTTGTGTTTAGGATACTGTTACTTCAGATGCGCTATTTTGGAAGCTCAAATTTCAGCCATTGCATTTTTGGAGATGGCTCCGTATAAAAGAGGAAAGAATCCCCTACTTACTTTTACCTCCCAGCCATTTCTGTGAATAATGTACATAACCTATAAGTATTAGATTAAAAAATAAAAATTTCGGTAACAAAGTGAGCATGGTTTATCTGTCATTCTCTTTCTTAAATAATGACTTTTTAAGTAAATTAACGGTAAATGACAAACAAAATACCAAGAGATTGAAGTGCGAAAAACAGGATCTTTACAAAGTACTTAATATTAATTCAACTTCGGAATTGCCTTGTCGGATGACGTAGGTGTAATAACAACTCTAAACCCACTAAAGTGTGTACAGCGGTTTAGTTATATCGAGTTTAGTTCTAGCCCGATGTAAGTACATCTAAAATTCATATCCATTCTTCTCTTGACCCTTGTCAAATAACAAGTCAGTTTTGTTAATTAAATGATGAAAAAAAGTTATGATAGTTTTTGGCTTTTCCCTTCTTCATAAATGAAAAAAATGAAGCAGAAAGATGAATGTTGATTTGCGTCGTAAACTGTCTTTGTTAAACTTTATCAGAATATACGAATAACAGATGACTTGAAATAATTACGTGATGTAAACGTTTTTGACTCCACTTCTTATTTACGAAGCAGTCTAGTATAAGAAATTAACCTTAGCATGTAATTTACAAGCACATAAGTATTGCTTGGTACCTAAATTAATAATATAGTATTTAAGCAATACCTTTAACTTGTTAGGTTTAGTGCTGTTTCCTGCCTATTTTTGACAATTTAAGTTAAGCCGTCACCGCGTCGTATTGTTAACAGTCTTGTGGTATTACATACATTTAAAATGAAAACAAATGAACACTCGCGATGAAAAAAAAATTTCATTACGGTGATTTATTTTTGACCTCGTAACCTCCCCAACTCTAAAAATATTATAAACAAATTTCTAATGTATAGGATTTAGTATTAGTAGGCTTATGACGAGTCGTAGACTTATACGTCGGCTCTAATATAATTTATACTATATACGAGTATAGACCATGAGGCATATAAACTTTATTGCAATTTTACTAATAGTAGTTTCATTTTTTAAAGTATTACTATATAAAGTATGCAGTACTCAGCAAGTTTTCTCAGATCCAGATTTTCACAAATAATCAGGCATAATGCAACCCGTGTGAAGATTTGAGCGTGAAATAAGTTATTGTGTGACTACATATATGGTGGAAGTAAAAAACCTGCTGCAGACAAATGAAAGTGACTTCTTGTCAACAGCACTTAAGATTGTTATTGGAACTAATTTCGTCTAGACCTACGCATAATAATTTCTCTAGCAGCGTAACTAAGCCTAAAAAATGGTTTCACAAAATATAAGCCGTGGCGGGAGGGGCGTTAAATATGCACCAGCGCGGCGTATCAGTACGCCATGACACTCGTGTTGAGCGGTTGTATTACGGGAAGTTTCGATTGTGCTTATTATTGGGTTTTGCCGCTTTTTCATTTCGCAAATATGGCGTCATGTGTCGTGAACTAGTGTAGAAGCGATTCAGATATGAAAAACACTAGAATCATATTTCATAAGTAAGTAAATAAACTGTTTGTCATCCCTTACTTAACGACTCTGAAAAGTGTTATGCATCATGTCAGATTTTTTTTTGTGCAGTATCCGTATCATTACTGCTCACATAAAACATGTTTGTTTTTAATATTAAGGATGATTTTATGCAAAAGTGTAATATATTTCATTACTACAGATTCCCAGGAAAAAAAATCCAGCGTTAATAATGGAAAGAAACGAATCTGATTGGATGTCTAACGAATATAGTAGAAAATGCAGCAGTCCCTTTCTACCGAATGCACCACTGACCGGCACCAGCACTGGTGCAGAGGCGACAAATTAGTTTCGTTTGCACCATTAATAGTAATACAACTACTACACCATACTTTACCTGTGCTGTGACCATTAACAAGTATATCAACTTCAGAACAAATATCATTATATTGTCTACACATTCGAAACAGAGAATTATTTTGGGACACATTATTGTTGCATGTTGCTATACGAAATAGCTGCAGAGTACGCACAGATCGAGTCGGTACCTTGAACTGTAACTGACTTAAGAGAGTACTATTAAATGAGCCAATCAAGATTTTAGATAAAGTGGACATGTCGCTCATCCATCTTTTCCTGTCAAATCCGACCATGTTAAAATAACGAAGTATTCCCGGCATTTTACGTCTTAAGCCATTTATGCTGAAAAAAAAAACGCATATTTCGACACTCAAGGGAATCAAAAGTTATAGTGTACTTCCCGTTGATCTAGAACTATGAAAGTTGGCAAATAGCTTCGTCTTATATTACAAGTACAGGGAAAAATCTGAAAACGACACATTTATAATAAAAACAAAAAAAATATGGTCTTTATATAAAGTACGCAATCATCAAGGTACAATTTCACTTATAAAATACAATAATGTAAGTAATTATAGGTTTGGAAACTGAATTTCAAGGCAAGCTCGGCAAACTGCGAGACTCGATTCCTGAATTATTTATAATATGTATCTACAAATTTGTACAGAACCCTCGGTGATAGAGCTCGACCGCCTGCCTCTCCCACGGCAATATTACGGTTACTTGCGATTTTTGTTCTAATGATGTACGTACATTTATGAAGTAGTGTGTCTAATAGTAGAATAAGTTAACAGTACAATTTAAATGACCTGTACCAATTTATTACAGTATATTTTATAAGACTTTGGACTGAGTTAGACTTAGCCAATTTGATATAATGCCAGGTCTTTTTAGCGTATATGTATGCAATATCTGTGGCAATATATATGATTTACTAATTTTGTAATAAACTGACCTGGTTATTTACATACCTACATTAAAAATGTTGTGATGTCGTACTGGCCACCAACTAGCCAAATACAAAATTTGATGAGCAATTTATTTTTAATATTTTCTTGATTTAAAATTCACGTTATGACTATTTCTGATACTTATTTTAGAAAGACAATTTTTTTAATTTTCTTTTTAGGTTAACTCCAAAATGAAAAAAGAACGATATAAAGGTAAAGTGCCGAGGTCATTATCGGATTTTCTATAATAATATACGTATCTGTGATAGAATACAGTAAATGTAAAGCCATTAACCAATCTCAAATGTATTAGCGGATTAAAAGTATTTTGTAGCAAAAACCATTTTGTAGCTAGTTCGTTCATACGAGACAAAAATCTTATATGTAGGTTTATGTAGAAAATAAATTTGTGAAATGTCCCCTGTAGAATTAAATGAATAGAATAAGTTTAAGCTAGTTACCTCTCCAAAACCTACCTTTTACAAAAACATAACTCCTCTGTAAGTCTTTACTCCACATTTGCAAGCTATAACAACTTGATTTAATGGCAAAATGTGCAATATAGTAAAATGATCTGCTCGCCTTACTCCCCTCTAGTGTACATTGGAATATTAAGGTGGTAATAAAACCAAGAACCATTATATCGTCCCATCACATTGACCGAATAGACGTTCAAAAGTTTACGTAAAATAAACTTAATAACTTTCTTTTCCAATATTACAACAACTGGCCATAATGATTACAAAATCACATTAAAAACAATGTATTGGAATTATCAACATGTGTGTATGTTCAGTAATGTCTGACACGCATAGTCTTCATAACGAACTGGCAATGCGCCCAAGAATTGGTAAATTCTATACTCTTTAACGTAATAGTGACCTAAGATATTCGATTAGTCTTGTCGCTGTTTGTAGAGGTATTGTGTTTCTGTAATCAAATCAAAATGCTCGCGGCATGCGATTTGTTAGGTGTTGAAATAACCCGCGGCTTTTACTTTTAATGTTATTATTTTAGACTGGTATACTAGTAGACTAGTAAAAAATATATATACGATAATACACTATTTTAAATATTTCTAATTAAAAATAGCGCAAGATAACAAAAATTTGGCATACACAAACATACAAAAAGCGTTATTAGCATTATAATATTAAGTAGCTTTTGTTGCATCTAGCTACCTATTTATATTCTATAAACGTGTGCGATTGACAAGATTGACAACCGTTCCATTTTATGTAAATAAAATAAAAATGTTTATTATTGATATGGCCAATAAAAATGTTGTTAGAGCTAATTAGTTACCTACCTACTCGTAATTAGGTAACAATCAGATATCACAAGATTTTGCGGTATTAAAACTGCGTTGCCAATTTTGTTTTTTATGAGTTATATTTAAATGTGATTGTAAGTTTATTATCAAGAGCTTACGTTAAGAATTATTTTTTACGAAATTAATTCAAACATAGCCTCCTTAA